TCTGTGGGCTTCTTTTTCCCTAATAGTAAAAACATTATTAGTGTTTAATGGAAATCTGTCCAAATAGTTTGAGCGAACTTTTTAGCTGCAGATTACTAGTCCAACTTTTAGCTCAAAGCTTTGAGGTTCACGCAGTTAAAAACAACCTTATTTGGCAGTTTTGTGGGTTATGGCCGAATTTTCAGTTTAAAGTTGTGTTAATAATAATTTCCTTAAAGTGTATACTCACAAGACAATTCATCACATTCAATGAGCGCTCTCTCTGAATTACTATTGACTTCCTTCTTCCTTCCAGCACGTCGTCGTCACTTCTGCTTTTTAGTACATTACCTTTCCATCAAGAATTGTCTTGTTAATGTATTTCAGGGGTTTGTATTTGTGTTTTTGTTTGCCACATGTAAATTGTAGATTAAACACATATATATGTTTTATTTGCACTAAATCTAATACTAACATCTGACATTGTTTGCTTGCTGTTACTCAACTCCTCAAAATGAAAGCTGTCCACTATGGCCGCCACCTCGACCTCTCCATGATGGATCTATCTGCCCTCCATCACTGTTACCAGACCCGTCAAACCGTCCTCTCATCGTTGTGAAGCATCCACGGGAAGAGGAGAGAGGAAAAATCAATATCCCACGATTTCTATTGGCCCGGGTCTGATCAGTGACTTAGCCTGTGCCTCCGGTGACCCGCTCCGAATGTAAACCTGAATTATGACTGACTCCGCTGCCATGGCAACCACATCAGTAGCTCTACCCAATCGCTTCGGTCTGTCTGCAGAGGCAAGTTTAGCTTGCTTCTATGGATATGTCATTGCTCTGCCTGGAATGATTTACATTATGACATGTAACAGCTCTACCTTACATTTATTACATTATGGTTGGTTTTATAGCTCAAAAATACATAGAAATACAGGCATTCTCACTGTGAGTAGGGTTCTCTGTCCACAGATATTACTGTTGGTATGGTTAGGTGTCAGTGATAGAAAAATTATTGAAAACTTTAATGCCATACTGTGAAACGTTCCAGGCAAAGCAATAACATCTCCAAAAAGAAAAGTATTCAACACACCCTCCGCCAGAAATGTAGAGGCTTCGTGTAATCACTGTGTAACAGTGCACCTTTAAGAGAAATACACCCATCAGGCAAAACATTATGAGCGGTAATTAGTGCTGTAATTAGTCTTAATTTGTTTGAGGAACAGGTAGATGCCCTCTGACTAAAATGTATCCAGTTCAAACTTCACATGAACACATGCTGTTGTCCCTGGTGGTTGGGCAATTAATCGACTTCATGTGGTTAATTTGTTTTTTAGTAGTCGACATTTAGAAAAATTGCAAAATCGAAAAGTGAAAATAGAGTATTAGTATTATTAGTATTAGTATTATTTGCTCTTGACTTTCTTACTTGCATAACAGGATTGTGCAATTGCAGTCAGATATTTAAACAAATGGTGGCAAATCAGTGGCAATTTACAATGTTATGCATATGATAAAAATTTAAAGTTAATTAAAAGTAAAGAGCTTCTGCTGTTTGAAAGGTGAGCAGGTAAAATCGTAATCACCCGGTGTGTGCAAAAAAATCTGTTTTTATTTTGGCCATATTGTCCAGCCCTAGTGCCTGGTGAAAACCCCACACATTTCTGTCCTAACAACCAGTTGATTATATCTTTGTGATGTATGAAGAATGAATGTATGAACTCGTATTCTGCTACAACTAGGGGTGTAACAATAACCAAAATATCGTGATATCGTATCATCAAAGTTCTCAATAATATCGTGGACCATCACAATATATCAAATTACAAGTCTCTTTGCTTAAATTAAGAGTAATGGTGCAGCAAGAGCTAAAAAAAAAGATGAGAGAACTACATAGACCATGATCCTTTGCTTCATTTCAGTGCAGACTACATGAAGAAATAACAGTTCTAAGCACTTTTAAGTCTTTGGATTAAGTCTTGTCCAGGCATTTTAAGAGGAAAAACTAGCATATTAACAGTTTTAGCTGTTTAGCCTCCATAAAATATCACAATAAATATTGTACCGTGAGATGTATATCGTGAAAATATCATACCGAGGAGCCTGGATATTGTTACATCCCTAATCGTGAGCCTCCTCACCATATCGTGAGCTTTCCCATGATATCATAATAAATATCGTACCGTGAGACTTGGATATTGTTACACCCCTAGCTACTACCTAACTTCCTTGTAAACTTTGTAAACATAATCAATTTTTTTTTTTTTAGTATTAGTACCAATAGTATCTTAACTTATAAACATATAATTGTACCTAGAACTAATTTTGAACATGCCTCTGACCATTGTTGTCTAGCCATGCTCAAATTTTGTCTCTAATACTTAAATCTGCCAAGTGTTAATTTATTTCCTTTATTTTATTTTTTATTTTGCAACTGTATCACTCTGAACCTCTCCAATTGTAATAATGGCATTCATCAGTTTTATTAGACCCAGGTTACAGGCATGGGTTAAGTGCTTTATAGTGTGTGTGTGTGTGTGTGTGTGTATGTGTGTGAATAGTTGTGTGTGTGTATTTATTGGTCCTTCGGGGTCACTCACCGGCGATGAATGATGATTGAAAATATCGATTTTTGTTCATGTGAGGATTTTGATGTGAGGAAGCATCAAATAAGAAGATTGAGAAAGGGGAATAAAAAACAGATGTCAATAGCAATAGACACACCCCAGCTTTTGTCTATCGGCTTCTGTGTAAACAAATAGATTACAAGAGTTTTCAGTGTAACAAACATCACTTTTTTATCCCTTTGAAAATAAATTCTGAACTCTACTCATGACTAACTAACTTTTGCCCGTCAGCTGGAAGGTTGGTGATTCAAACCTCAATTAATCACCTATTATCTTTGAGTCATTGGGCAAGACACTACAAATCCATTGCCTTCAGAATAAAAATTTTACTTCTATCTTTGTTTTTTTGTTTTTTTATTATCGGAAGGTGGATGCTGTAGCTTCGACCTACTCTTTTTAGGCCATTTTATTTTATTCTGGCAGTTGTATTTGTAAGACAAACTCCTTTCAACTTAAACATGGTCTTTTATTGTTGTCTTTGCCACATTAGTTTATCCTTTCTGCTTAATTTTCCTTGTCAAAACTTCAGAGAATTAAAGAAAAAAACAAATCTAACTCTTTACAATGAATAATCTGACTACTACTTATACTGCTCCAAGTGGTGAGTAAATAAATGCTTCTTTAAATTCAATAGACAAAACACTTCCCCTTGAACTATAGCTGCTCTCCTCCAGAGCTTCTATAGTTCTCAGTGTGTGACATGTTTATATCTAATAAAACTGCATATGGCCTCTTTATGTGCTTTGGCATTGAAGTGACACTGACTTTGGTTTGTGACCTGATCGTTGTGGTTACGTAATGGAAGGACACTGTCAATGCTGAAGATGTATTCTCTGTCACATGAGATTATGGTCATAAATCTGCTCTATAGGCTCCATTACTTGTGTTGTGTGTCCTCATTTAGACTGTACAGTTTGTAGTAAATGTGTAACTATGGCGCCATGTTTATATGAAGCATGTTTGATTAAAGATTCATTATAGCGACATATTAACTTGAGAAGAGCTAGATGCTGTGTTAATGTTTGTAGATAATGGTCCTTAATCTTGTCATCTGAATTGTTGTTGGAGTCAGTGCAAACCAAGGACATTACCTGTTTTAATTACATAATTTTAATGCTTATATCAAAATGTACGTGCAATTATCAAATTGCAAAGGCTGCAATTACAGGGTAGCCACGAGGTCTTAAAAGTCTTAAAAAGGTCTTAAATTTCATGTTCCTTAATTAAGGCCTTAAAAAGTCTTAAATTATGTTGTCCAAGTCTTATTTTTTTCACAAAGATCTTAAATCTCATTATCCTATTTTTTTGTTTATTCATCTGGGCTGCAGTGCAATGTTAAATAGAGGGAGGGTAAAAAAAAACACAACGTGAAATAACATGACATGAATGAACATTTAATTTGGAATATGTGCAAACAATACTTTGGTTTTTGGCGCCAGCGGCAATGAGTAAACAATTGGTTTCATCTACACTGCCCAAGACGCAAAACTCTGGTCAGATCTGCTCACATCACATACGTGATCACCACCGAGCCTCCTGGCATTCATACACAATTGAATTCCACACACTTTTGTGTCACCATATGCAGATTTCCTCCTGAGAACACTCATCTAAACACGAAATAAAAAGGGAAGGCGTTACGCCACTTTTGTGTCTTCTGTTCAGACTGTCATCATATAAACGTAGCCTTAGATTCTGGATATAGTACCGGTAGTTGGTTGGTCATTATTAGAATTAGACCTGGTGTTTTTCGCCCGCATTATGGGTGCGACGTTGGTCTTAATTTTCATTTAAGTAGGTCATTAAAAAGGTCTTTAAAAAGTCTTACATTTGGGGTAGTCAAACCTGGGGGTACCCTGAATTAACATTATTTAATCACAGGTATTTCATGACACTCTAAGCACTTTACAGAGCATTATTCATTCACTCCACTCTCTGTGGAGGTAAATTCTTATCGTAGCCACAGCTGCCCTGGGGCAGACTGACAGTGCAGATCTGCATCTTCGCTTCTATCTGCTCTTCCAACCACCACCATCACTCACGCACACCACATTCATACCAGGCAGTGTAGGTAAAAGTGTCTTGCCTAAGCACACAATGACAGTTTTTGCCACTGCCGCTTCACTGTGGCTCCTGGTATTCCCAGCAGTGTCCTTTCCATGTAGTAACCAAGCCCTGTCCTGCTTAGCTCCTGACATCTGACGAGATCAGGCTTTGACAAGGAGGTGGTCACTTATTAGGTAATAGAATGTCACCGTCACAATACTTTTCAGAAAAACTGCAGTATATATAATTTTTTTTCTAAAATGATGTGGCCCTAATCTCTACTTTTATTGCAATGATGTGAATATTTTGTGTCTAACAGATTGGTCTTTTGTCTCTTGTGTTTCAGTGGAGAGAGAGAGAGCGTTCAGAAGAGGACATTTACCAGATGGATGAACCTACATTTAGAAAAGGTTAGTCAGATCTGAATCAAAGAGACAAAGACAGTCATCATGTTTTCTACTCTGCACAATTACAGAGCGTCTCCCTCCATTTTAATTTACAATCTGAAAACCACCACACCATTTCTTTTCTAGCAGCTCCACCCCAAACATGCACAGCTCCAGCTCCCCTCTCAGCCTGAACACCGGCCACAGCGTCTCTCATGTGTGCCGAATACTGCAGAGGCACGTGCGCACATAAACACTGCAGGCTCCGCCCACCACACTGTACAAAAAGAACAACTATGATATGGGTGCATTCACAATAAAACAAGTGCCACATAGAGATTGGGACAAAACTGGGGCTAAACCAGAACTAAATCAGGACTAAATGACGACTAAACCAGGACTAAACCAGCACTAAACCAGCACAAAACCAGGGCTAAACGAGGACTAAACTGGGACTAAACCAGGACTAAAACAGGGCTTAACTAGGAGTGAACAAGGGCTAAACCAGGGCTAAACCAGAACTAAACCAGGGCTAAACCAGGACTAAACCAGGGCTAAACTAGGACTGAACAATCACTAAACAAGGAATAAAACAGGGCTGAACCAGGGCTGAACCAGGGCTAAAACCAGGACTAAAACCAGGACTAAAACCAGGACTAAAACCAGGACTAAAACCAGGGCTAAACCAGGACTAAACCAGGGCTAAACCTGGACTGAACCTGGACTGAACATGGACTGAACATGGACTGAACAACTGAACATGGACTGAACAAGGACTGAACAAGGACTGAACATGGACTGAACATGGACTGAACATGGACTGAAACATGGACTAAACATGGACTAAACATGGACTAAACATGGACTAAACATGGACTAAACATGGACTAAACATGGACTAAACATGGACTAAACATGGACTAAACATGGACTAAACATGGACTAAACATGGACTAAACATGGACTAAACATGGACTAAACATGGACTAAACATGCACTAAACATGCACTAAACACAAGAACTAACAGGACTACCCAGGACTAACCAGGACTAACCCAGGACTAACCCAGGACTAACCCAGGACTAACCAGGGCTGAACCAGGGCTGAACCAGGGCTGAACCAGGGCTGAACCAGGGCTGAACCAGGACTGAACCAGGACTGAACCTGTAAATTAGCTTTATAAATATATTGAATTACAACAAATTTGCTTACTATGTTGTTATCATAGTTACAAATCTAGTTTAGTTTTAGCATTATTGTGGTTTGTTTGTTATTTCCTTCTGGTGTTAAGGGTACACTGTGTAACTTTTCTAGTGGACAGTCCCCCTTCTGCTTGTCTCTGGAGGTGAAGGTGTAATGTCCTTACCTGAGTGTTTGAGTGTTTTTAACATTGTGGTTACCAGTTTGTCTCCATATACAAGACACATTTTGTAGCATATCCTTCTGAATGAAGACTGATGACTGAACTGGTGATTTTTAGATTTAATGGCAATAAATCCTCCAATCTGCTGTAAGAGCTAAAAGGAATACAAAATGTGTAAAAGTGTAAATACGCATATACAAAACTCAACGCAAGTTTGATTATTATTTCACATTCATCTTGATAAGAAAATACCAAAAAATATATGCTCTATATAATGTTTTTCCCTTCTCGTTGTCAAGGTAATTCAACAAAAATAAACCCTTCAAAATAAAAGCGCTATACATAAACATGTAAATTAAAAGTTAACAACAGAAAATAGTGCAATATAAAAATAATAATTAAAAATGTCACAAGAGATTTTAACCAAGACAAATTATACTATAGGTTATTTACAAATTTAGTGCCATACTGTGAAACATTCCAGGCAAAGTAATAATATCTTCTAACATCTCCAGAGACAAACAACCTCCACCAAAAACATGTTACAAAGTGCACCTTTTTTTTTTTTTTTTGCATCTTACTTTTTTCAGTTATGCTTTTTTGAATGCATTTGTAATTTGCGATATTTTTTTTCAAAGTTCTAATGAAAAACTAAAATGAAATCTATTAATATTTTGAATTACAGGTATTTTTGCAGTGTAGTGTGAATAATAGATGGGCTTTGTGGACTCGCCGTGGCAACATCAAATTTTGATGAGAGCGTAAAGTGCTAATCTAAAGAGACACTGGAGGAGGTGTAACTGTTGTATATGTCCCTGTGTGGTGCTTTAGCCTCTTTGCACCATCCAGAGAAACAGGGAGCATGTGACCACTGCTGGGACTGAGCGGACCCCCTCCTCCACTCCGCTCTGTTCTTCCTCCTCTTCCCTCATGCCCAAGGGAGGAAGAGAAGGAACGGTGGGCTCCTTCTCTTCCTCCCCTCCTCACTCCTACTCCTCCTCTTTCACTCTTCCTCTCCGTCTCTCCGATTCTCTTCCTCCTCATCCTCTGCCTTTCCTCCCTTCCTATGCTTTTCTCCTAAACGAGGACTAAACCGGGGGTTAAACCAGGACTAAACCAGGACTAAACCAGGACTAAATGAGGAATGAACAAGGACTAAACCAGGGCTAAATGAGGACTAAACCGGGGCTAAACCAGGACTAAAACCAGGGCTAAAATAGAACTGAACAAGGACTAAACGAGGAATAAACCAGGGCTAAACCAGGGCTAAACCAGGGCTAAACCAGGACTAAACTTGGGCTAAACCAGGACTAAACAAGGACAAACAAGGACTAAACCAAGACTAAACTAGGACTAAATGAGGAATGAACAAGGACTAAACCAGGGCTAAACTCAAACCGAACAAGGATTTAATGAGGAATAAACCAGGGCTAAATCAGGACTAAATGAGGAATGAACACAGACTAAACCAGGGCTAAACCAGGGCTAAACCAGGGCTAAACCAGGGCTAAACCAGGCCTAAACCAGGACTAAACCAGGCCTAAACCAGGCCTAAACCAGGACTAAACCAGGACTAAACCAGGACTAAACCAGGACTTTCCTCATGCCCAGTGGAGGAAGAGAAAGAATGGTGGGCTCCTTCTCTTCCTCCCCTCCTCATTCCTGCTCCTCCTCTTTCACTCCTCCCCTTCTCTCCTCTTCTCTTCCTCCTCATCCTCCGCCTTTACTAATTTCTATACTTTTCTCCTCCTTCGCTCCTCTTTCCTCCCCCTCTCCTTCTCATTTCCTCCTCTGTCCTCCTATCTTCCCATCCTCTTTTCCTCCTCTTCCCTGTTCTTCCACCTGCCCTCCTATCCTCATCCCTCTCTCTTCACTTCCTCCTGTCCTCCTCCCCTGCTCCTTCTCCTCTTCCTCCTTCTCTCCTCTTTCTTCCTCTCCTTTTCTTTCTCACCTCTGCTCTCTTCTTCCCTGTCCTCTTCTACTCTTCTTCCCCTCTCCTCCTTTCCTCTCCTTTCTTCCATCCCTCCTGCAGACCGAGTACTGGTTCATGCTGTTATAATGATTTTTATGGAGTCATTACTACACATCTTTGTGGTGCCCCAAATCTCCAAGTACATGTAAAATTAATTAAAGTTTAACAGCAAAATCAAATAGAAAGGCTTGAATTTACAGTAGAAGACACAGTTATAGAGACTGTGTTATTTGTATTGCATTCAAGTGTATTAGAGGATTACAATACATCAGGGCACATCAAGAAACACAGGGCTTAAAGGGCCCATAATACACCATTTTCTGATCTGTTATAATGTTTCCTCATCTAAAACGTACATGGAGTGTTTTGTTTCATTCTCACATGTTTAACACACAAACCCTGCATGTTTAGGCTGAGTTCTTCTCTCAAACAGAATCATTTGGGTGATTTCAACCCTGGAATTTCCAGTTTCTTCTGAACAAATGATAACTGTTAACTTGAAAACTACCACTACATGACATCACAAGGTCGAATAATAATAAAGGGTTACGCAAACACGCGTGAATGAAACAAAACATAACTTCATGTGTGTTTTTGAGGAGGTAACTGCAGTCTAATATGGTTTAAAGCTCACGAGTCTGTTTTGTGTAATATATATTTAATTTAACTTGGACCAAAGAGGTCCAAGGTCCTTGCAGAGGTCGCTGGTGCTAGGCTAGTGCATGTCAATGGCCATAGTTGGCCTGCCACTAAAAACAGTCTTACCCACTCCGCAAAACAAATATAACGCCAGACTGTCAATGTAAATGTCTGTGTCAATAGAATAATTTTAGAAGTAAAACCGACCTTGCATTTGAAGGATTTATGTCTGAGCAGCAGCAGTGAGTTGTACTTCCTGATAGAAAGCTTGGCAGCAGCGGACTGATATATGAGAAAGTAGTCCCTGTGACAACATGTGACGATTCACCAGCGACCTCTGCAAAAAAAAGGACTGGATGGAATATTTTAAAAAGTGTCTCCACACGTCTCCAACACTCTGGCTCACTAGGAAATGAGGCCCTATGTCCAAAATTCTGGACTGTCCCTTTAAACCACAATGTTTTCAAATATAATGACTTTATCAGTAAATATGGAAAATATAATAGCAAATATAGCAAATATATGATTAATCCTCTAGTTCTAATACTAGAATAAAAAAACAAAAACAAATGAACAACTTTGGAGTATATAGTTCTTCAATTAAACACAATAATCTACAAGGTGACTGCATTTTATCTTAGTTTCCCATACTATTATTATGACTTATTTGGACTTAAAAAAAAAATGTGTAGGATGAAAATAACTTTTGAAAACTACTATTGTGCTTTGCGATGCTTTTTAATTACTACCCATGGTTGAGTGACTGAGTATAGGCCCCAGGAACATTTATTTTTGCTGAGCCAGTGAGTCGCCAGCTCTGCTTATTTTGCATGTATTATAATTAAGGAATATAACAATACAAACTATATAATTTAAACCGAACAAACAGTGACATTTTGTGCTCCTTCAATGGTGGAGGGTCTGTCAAATGCTTTTCTCCTTGGGGATGTTATTGAATGTCTGTTTTTCTAGGTATTTTTGAGCTATAAAACCACCTGTAATGGAATAAATGTAAGGTAGAGCTGTTTCATGTCATACTGTGGAACATTCCAGGCAGATCAGTGACGTATCCATAGAAACAAGCAGGTGATGGACCTCCAACCAAAAAGTTACATAATGCACCAAAAATATACTATTCAAATACTCAATAAATAATAAAAACTAAAATGTCAAAACATACTCATTTGAATAAGTATCAATACTGGAAATAATGTCATACTGGACAAATTTGAATTTTAAGAGCCTGTACCTGATTTATTTCTATGTGTTTAAGCAAAATTTGTCTTTATCTCAGATTACAGGCTATAAACATCTCTTGAGGTCAAAATAAGTGCTCTATGTTCTATCTGTCCATCCAGATTTAAAGCATTTTATTGTCCGATAATCAGGAAGTGTGCTTTAGAATGCTGCTGTTGTTGTTGTTGTTATTGTTGTGGTTATTAGCTATAAAACTTTCTTCTGGTTGTGAAAAGCACTTATAAACTTAAAATGCACAACTTAAGTGAGCAATAAATGTGGACCACTGTTTTAAATGAACTAATTCTGTGAACTAATGAACTAATTTAGTTTTTAAGACAGTAAAAATCTGATTCCGTGCCCTTAAATCGTGTAAGAATGGCCTTTTATTTACCTTTATCACTAATGCTTTTCTCCTTGGAGATGTTATTGCTTTGTCTGGAATGTTACGCAGTATTGCATTAAATCTTTCTATTTTCATGGACACCAAACCAGACCAAGTCACAGGCCAGATCTGTGGAGAGGCAACGCCGCTCACAGTCAGAATCCCTGTTTTTCTAGGTATTTTTGAGCTATAAAACCTCCTGTAATTTCATAAATGTTTGGTAAATCTGTTTTAAAGTTATACTGTGGAACATTCCAGGCAGAGCAATGACATACCCATAGAAACAAGCACGAAAAAATTACACACGACACCTTTAAAGTACAATTTTATAGTAGAACAGCAGTTTTATCCATGTGATACTTTTATTTTTTGCTCCTGTAACTGTACTTTCACTTTACCAAAATTGAGTATTCTTCCATCACTTGTAGATATCAAAAGAATCTTTCATATCTGTCTAAACCGGTTCTTTTTAAACTGACATCATGTTTGTTTATTTGGCGTGAGTTGTGGAGACATGGGTGAGATAAGGCTTTTGTTTAGCTTCACACAATACCAGCTTGTCTTCTCTCCGCTCGTACATTTTGGCCCAATTTCAAAGCGCTGACCCAGTAATTGACAATCAGACGTTTGTTTAGTGATGGGAACTTTAAGCCTTTCTTATCTCACACACTGACTGACACTGTTTTAAATCATGTTTGGACAAGCTTCTCACCTCTCCTTGATTTTAGAGATTAAATACTTACAGAAGAAGAAGGAACTGCTTTTCTTTGTACAAAACATAACATATTCCTGTTTACAGTTTATGGGATCTTAAGGGTCAGTTTTAATGATGGAAAATTCAAGAACTACAGATTACCAGACAAAACCAAAGGAGCACTGAACTTAATATAAGACAGACATAAACCAAGACTAAATTTTCACCTATACCAAATAGGATTGATCTTGTACCATGGATGGACTAAACCAGGATTTCATTTAACTTAATTATAACCCTAAAAAGAAACACTGACTCCTGCAAACCTGGACTAAACCAAGACAGGACTAACCCTGGATTACACATGAAATAAAATATAATAAAGCCATACCTATCTGCACCTATACTAAACCTGGACTAAACCTGGACTAAACCTGGACTAAACTGGACTAAAACTGGACTAAAACTGGACTAAAACTGGACTAAAATTGGACTAAAACTGGAGTAAAACTGGACCAAAGACTAACACAAGACTAAAAATATAATAAACCCATACATCCATACCTATACTAACCCTGGACTAACCCTAAACTAAACCTGGACTAAGCCTGCACTAAATCTGGAATAAATCTGGACTCAACCTGGACTAAACCTGGACTAAACCTGGACTAAACCTGGACTAAAACCTGGACTAAACCTGGACTAAACCTGGACTAAACCTGGACTAAACCTGGACTAAACCTGGACCAAAGACTAACACAAGACTCAATCTGGATTACGTCTGAACTAAAAATATAATAAACCCGTACATCTGCACCTATACCAAACCTGGACCCAACCTGGACCCAACCTGGACCCAACCTGGACCTGGACCCAACCTGGACCCAACCTGGACTCAACCTGGACCCAACCTGGACCCAACCTGGACCCAACCTGGACTCAACCTGGACCCAACCTGGACCCAACCTGGACTCAACCTGGACTCAACCTGGAAACAAAGCCAGAACTCAATAAGTACCAATTATTACGTCTATAGTGAAATAACCAATAACTTCATAGTGCCTTAATCTCCTCTTGTCCTTCCCTGTGTTTGACATGTAAATGAGCTGCCAGTGTCTCCCTCAAACAGTTCTGCAGATGATATATGGGAGCTGTTTGCCCCGGCATTAGGGTTATTACAGTCTGACGGGGGATAATAGCGGTCAATGCCCTGACAGGTAGTTTGATCAGCAGTGACAGCCCACAGCACCGGTGTATGAAGAGGATCTGTTAAAATGTATTTTTAGATGCTCACTTAATAATAATAATATTAAAGTTGGGCTGTGCATGGTGGTTGCGTGGGAAAAATGGGGCAGTTTGGGTAAACAAAAGGATAGAAAAGTAGCTAATTTTATTGAGACTTACGTTGGTATTTCAACATACACAAGTTTTAGAACAAAAGTTTTAGAACACCATAATATTTCCAGTTATTTATTGTAATTCAAGTCGTGCAAGTCCAATGAAGAGCTTGAAATGGTACAAAGGTAAGAACTGAACAGCCAGAGGTAAAAAAAAAAAAAAAAAGAAAAAAGAGAGATTACAAAACACAAGTCCAAGCTCTGCCAGAACTACCTCAGGAAAAAAGAACAAGATGGTAAACTTGAAAACATGGAGTGTCCTGCACAGTCTGCAGACTTAAACCCCATCGAGCTGGTTTGGGATGAACTGGACAGAAGAGTGAAGCAACCTACAAGTGCCTCACATTTATGAGAACTTCTGCACCAGACTTGGGAAGAACTTTCTGAAGAATATTTGATTTCTGTTGTAAAAAGAACGAGCCACGAGTGTGTCCAGCTGTTCAACTGCGAAAAGTGGACACTTTCTTGAATCAAAAGTTTAGAATATGTTTTGGTAAAAAACTAGAAAAAGTTTGGTGTTCTAAAACTGTTGACCGGTAGTGTATGTGTGTAGCTTTTCTGGTGGATTGTCCGTCAAATGCTTTTCTCCGTGCAGGTGTTATTTATCACTTTGTCTGGAATGTTTCGTAGTATGGTATTAAACCTTTCTATCTTCATGGTGACCAAACCAGACCAAGTGACAGGTCAGATCTGTGGAGGGGCAACCCCGCTCACAGTCAGAATGCCTGTTTTTCTAGGTATTTTTGAGCTATAAAACCACCTGTAACTGAATAAATGCAAGGTAGATCTGTTTAATGTCATACTGTGAAACATTCAAGGCAGATCAGTGGCGTACCCATAGAAACAAGCACGTGATGGACCCCCAACCAAAAAGTTACACAGTGCACCAAAAATATACTAATCAAATACAAGAAATACTAAAAAGTTAAATGTCCAAAGTGTCAAAAAATACTAGTTTGAACAAGTATCAATACTGGAAATATTGCTATACTGGACAAATATGAACTTTGTACCCGATTTTTTTCTATGTGTTTGAGCACAATTTGTCTTTATCTCAAATTATCGGCTATAAAACAGCTCTTGAGGTTAAAATAAGTGTGTTATGTACTATCTGTCCATCCAGTTTAAAGCGTTTTATTTTAAATTGTGTAAGAATGGTCTTTTATTTATCTTTGTCACTAATCTGCTGTCAAAACAATGGAACAATACTTAATCACAAAAGTGAAATAATAAAAAAAATATCTCAGTGTATAAAAGAAATACTGGATGGAATTTGGAAATAATTCTCAAAGCTTTATCATTGTTCTTCCTGTATTTTAGTGTAATCCTCCAATTGAAGTCCAAGATCTCTTCCGGGACATTCAAGATGGACACATCCTCATGGCTCTGCTGGAGGAGCTCTCCGGCTGCAAACTGGTACGATTTTTTATAATTTGGATGATTGAATTTTATTATTTCTAGCAACATAATTTATAAGGTTGCTCAGCTCGTAAATGTGCTTGTAAATTTGTGTTGCAGCTGCATGGATTCAAAAAGTCCTCCCATCGAATTTTCCGACTCAACAACATCGCCAAGGTCCTGTCATTCCTGGAGGAGAGAAATGTGAGTAAATACATAAAAGTTAGTGACACCTGAATGGCTACTGTTGAAGGGGAATAAATAAGGCTAGTGTAATCATCACCATGGCAACCTACAGGAAGAGACACGTAGTTCCAGCAGCCATGTTCTGACTGTAAAAATAACTCATGGGTTCTCTGCATTACCATGACAGCAAAACTGTCACTGTTATAATGATGTTTTCTTATCAAAAAATAGTGTGAGTTGTGTTTTGTTTCATTTACACATTAACACACAAACCCTGCACAAACCCTTCACTCAAACTGAAAACACTCTGTTCCACCTTGTGATGTCATGTGGTAATACAACTTTTTAACAGTCTTGATATTTACTAATATTTGGGTTTTCATACCTGCATGTTTGCCTCCACCCAACAATGTAAAAATATCATCAACTATTTCTATTTTTGCTTAGAAGGCCCATATTGCAATATTGTCTGATATACTAGTAGCTATGTTATAATGTTGTTTCATTGTCATAAACATGGAGTTGTGTTTTGTTTTAACACAAAAACCCTGCACATTTAGGCTGAGCTCTTCTCTCTTCCACCTTGTGATGTCATGTGGTGTTACAGGAAGTGCTCCACTGTGTTTTAAACTCCAATCACCTTCACTAGAATCACTTGGATAATTTCAGCCCTGGAATTGCAAATCTGTACTGAACAAAAGATAAAAGTTAGCTGACTTCCACTTCATGACATCATAAGGTGGAACAGAGCACTCTGAGCTTTGGAGATGTAGACAGACTAATAATAAAGGCTTACTCAAGCATGTGTGAATGGAACAAAACACAACTCCAGGTATGTTTTTAATGAGGTAACAACATTCTAACACGGTTTAAAGCTCACATGAATGCAGTTGGTGTAATACACGATCTTTAAAGGGACAGTTTGGAATTTTGGACATAGGGCCTCATTTCCTAGTTAGCCAGAGAGTTGGAGATGTGTGGAGACACTTTAAAAAAAATTCAATCCAGTTCTTGTATTTGCAGAGGTCACTGGTGCTAGACTAGCACATGTCAATGGCCATTAATGCCACTAAAAACAGTCTTACCCACTCCACAAAACACCCGAAGCAAATCTATTATTACACCAGACTGTCGATGTAAATGTCTGTATTGACAGAATAATGTTTGAAATAAAACTAACCTTGCATCACATGAATCGTCGCATGTTGAGGGACTATTTTCTCATATATCAATCCGCCGCTGCCAAGTTTTCTATCAAGAAGTACAACTCACTGCTGCTGCTCAGACAGAAATCCTTCAAATCCAAGTTTGGTTTTACTTCTAAAATTATTCTATCAGCACAGACGTTCACATTGACAGTCTGGCGTTCAGGTGTTTTGTGGAGTGGGTAAGGCAGGATAACTATGACCATTGACATGCACTAGCCTAGCACCAGTGACCTCTACAAATACAAGGACTGGATAGAATTTTGAAAAAAGCGTCTCCACACGTCTCTAACTCTCTTGCTCACTAGGAAATGAGGTCCTATGTCCAAAATTCCGAACTGTCCCTTTAAGGCTTTTTATCAATGACATTTCTGGCATTAACTTTATGAGACAGACTAATGACTTGCTGCTTGAAATATTCTGCAGTCATCATTTTGTTAGAAGGGAGGGGATTCTGTAATGGTGGGAGTTATGCAGTATTTCCAAAAATGAGTTCTTTTTCCATAATCCAAAATGAACTTGAAAAACTAGTTTGTCGTGTTTTGTGGTTCATATAAGCCATGTAGTCCCAGGCAAAAATAGATTTGTCCTTTCCATTTGAAATGCCACTGGGACAACCTATAAGGAGCAGCAGGCGATAATGCTGTACCCAGGGACCCTTCTCCCCTCACACACACACACACACACACACACATACACACACAGAGGGCATATAGACTATAACATTATACTAAATACCTAATTAACCCAAATTGACTATCTGGAGGATTAGCTTACTTTGCATGTTTAAAGTTGAAGGGGAAGCTGGAATATCCAAATAGGATTAGCAGAGTCGCCGTATTACCTGCACGTCATTTACGATTTACGATTTACGATTTACGATTTTTAAACTTGATTGGATAATTCTGGACATAAGACAAGGATTACAAACCAAGTCTAAACCCGGGATTTAACCAAGACTGAAATAGCACTAGCCTTGGACTTACTAAAACTGCCAAAACAGACACAAGGAAAGCACAAAAGGCCTCATTGTATTCTAATCAGACCTTTTGAATGTGAGATAAACCTCTAATCTTACAGCGTTTTGCTTAAAGGTGCACTATGTAACTTTTTGGTTGGGGGTCCATCACCTGCCTCTGTCTACGGATATGCCATTGCTCTGCCTGGAATGTTCCACTGTATGACATTGAACAGCTCAACCTTACAGTTTTTTCAGTTACAGGTGGTTTTATAGCTCAAAAATACCTTACATAACAGGTATTCTGACTGTGAGTGGGTCGCCTCTCCACAGATCTGACCTGTCACTTGGTCCGATTTGGTTTCCATGAAGATAGAAAGGTTTAATATATTCTCTAAAACATTCCAGACAAAGCAATAACATCTCCACTTTGAATAGCATTTGACAGACCCTCCACCAGAAAAGTTACACAATGCACCTTTAATAAATGTCTGTGTTTTTGTGTTCAGGTGAAACTGGTGAGCATCGATGCGGCTGACGTTGCCGACGGAAACGCCTCCATCATCCTTGGCCTCATCTGGAACATCATCCTCTTCTTCCAGGTAAATCGCATTTTCCAAACGCTCTTTTCATCCGACTTTAACTTCAGCCTTCTCCTCTAATCCTCTCTGTGAGCTCGGAGGAAGTGTCTGCACTGCACTGCAAAAAATTACTTTAAAATTAATACAGTTCAAGATATTTTATTGAGTAATTTTGAGTTGTTAAATTTATTTAGTTGATGGGCTTGATTAGGCTTCTGACATGGCTTGTTTTATATATATGACGTATATTACACAAAATTGACTCTTTAAGATTTAAGTCATTTTATAATGTCCTCAAAAACATACCTGGAGTTGTTTTTTGCTTCATTCACACATGCTGAAATAATCCTTTATTATTAGTCTGTCTACATCTTCAAAGCTCATAATGCTGTTCTCCTTTGTGATGTCATGAAGGAGTAATTTTCCAGTTAACAGCTACCTTTTACCTTACCAGTTCAGCAGAAATAGGCAATTCCAGGTCTGAAATTATCAAAATTATTCTGTTTGAGAGAACAACTCGGGGGTGCAGGGTTTGTGTGATAAACATGTGTGAATGAAACAAAACACAATTATGTTTTTGATGAGGAAACACGAAAAAACATCATAACATAGATAAAAAAAATAATACCGTAATATGGGACCTTTAAATCCAGTCAAAATCCACGTTCATTTTCGGAAATTGAAGTAATTTAACCAAGACTAGATGTAGACATTTTTGCAGTGTTTTCTTATCAGGCCAAATGAGGTCAAGTATTAGAGAAAGTATCTAATTCTCAGAATGTGTGTTTCATTCACATCAAAGCACAGTGTATTGGGTAATTGATGTAATTCCTCATATGGTTCACTGCTTCAAGCTAAGACCTCTCCACAGCAATTTATAATGGAATAGATTGGTTTTCATCCCAAATTAGGCCCAGGGCTGGTACTAGTAGGCTGTATTGATTTTGTAGCATCAGCCTTTTTGTTACTATCTCTGCGCTGCTACACATATTAAGACACGCATGAATGAACTTTGAAAAGGCAAGAAGCACTGGACATAAACTTATCCAATCACAGTTGAGTGTAAAATGACTTTAAAAAGTTATCTTGAACGGTGCGGTATAATATTTCTGATGTGGGTCAACTCCTTGGAGATCTTATGTTCAACAAGATAAACCATGACCACTTTCATCTCACATTTCATTCACACACTGTAACTCATTTGCAGTGTTTTATTGCTCAAGAATGCATTGAAGAAGTTTATCATTTTATATAGATTTTTAAAATAATTTTAATCCCATTCTGTGGAACATTCCAGGCAAGATAACAGTTTCTCCTTGGAGACAAGCAGGTGACGGACATCAAAGAGAAAATTTATTATTAAATTGTCTTTGGCAAACTTAAAACTTGAAAAACACATTCTTGCATTCTTACTGTGAGCAGAGATGCTGCACCACAGATCTGACCTGTAACCTAGCCCAGTTGTGTCACTTCCTTTTCTCAATGAAAATCGTGTAATGCCATAAAGTGGAATATTTCAGACAGAGAAATAGCATGTTTTTTGGAGACGAACAAGTGCTGCAATTTTCATCAGCCAAAAATGCATAGTGCATTGTTAAGTTTAGGCTGCATATAAATGGTTGATTGTATATTGATATATCAGGTATACAGTATGTGTTGTTTGTACTATTCATCTCTGATCACATGATGTTTCCTCAGATTAAGGAACTGACTGGAAACATCAGGAGCCAGTTCCCGTCCTGTTCCAGCCTGTCGTCTCTTCCCAACAGCTCAGACTCGGACACGTCCTCGAGCACCCCCTCAGAGGAGAGGCAGCCCCCTGCTCACCCAATGCGCGAGCACAGCAAAGCCATCAAGAAACTACTGCAGTGGGTGCAGAGGCGGACGCGCAAGTGAGTGTGGACTCGAATACTTAAACGACCGAGGCTGTGTTCACCAAAAGGAGCCCAATTTATAATGTTAAACTTCAGAAACTTCATATTTTATTCCTCAAGAGGAATTTATTAGTGTGTAAACTTCAGTGGCAGCACATTGAAGCTACTGAAAAAATCTTGGATTTGAAGTTTTAACAGCTTAGAAGGAGCAATTTAGCACTTATGGTGATAGATTCAAAACAGAAACAAATCATATTTTAAATCTGGTCAACAGATAAACAAATGGAGAAAGAAAAGTAAGAATTATACCAGCGTTATAATACTGTATGTTGAGGACACAGGGAGAGCAGTTAAAGCAGTTATAGCCGGAAGATTGGAATTCAACCCCAGTAGCCAAAAGTGCATTATGTTGTTGTGTCCTTGTGCAAGACACTTGTGTGAATGGTTATTGGTGCTGTTCACAATTTTTAGACTGTTCTCTAAAATGTTCTATTTTATAATGGAATATTCAACACATGAGGGTAGTTTAAATATAGAAACAAACAAAGCCAATCTTATAAGTTAAAATGCCTTTATTTATTATGGCATGTCTGAATAGAACTGAGCCCCAACATGTTCCAGCTTACTAGCCTTCATCAAGGGGACAAAACACCCCACAGAGTGTCTTGTTTTTTCTGTATTTTTACTATAACGGTGCCTTTATCAAAGAGCTCCATTATGACCATATGGATGTAGATTATGACCACTGTAAAACTATTCAGGAAAGATGTAAGTTTTTATTTATGTAATTTTTGTTTTCAGTACTGATACTTGTCCAAAGGGGTATCTAGTTTCAACTTTAGCTTCCAAGATTTTTTTTTAACCCTGCTCCACCCATCACCACATACTCTGACCAAGCTATTACCTGATAGACCCTCTTATAAAATATGTCTTTATTTTCTCAGGTATGGAGTGGCTGTACAGGACTTTGGTAAGAGTTGGACTAGTGGTCTGGCCTTCCTGGCTGTGATTAAATCCATAGACTCCAGTTTGGTGGACATGAGGAAGGCCCTGCTCCGAACGCCCAGGGAGAATCTGGAGGATGCTTTCCGGATAGCTCACTACAGCCTGGGCATCCCGAGACTCCTGGAGCCAGAGGGTACGATATCTGCTGCTACATCAGTAACATCTGAATGGGGTTTAATTTTTTATGCAGTCTCATTGGTGGAGTCATTTCTGCATAATCACTATTGGATTTAGCCCGGAGAAATAATTAGGACTTTATGAGGTGTGAATCCGCAGTAATCGTTTGCATTGCCCGGATCAAAATATTAGATTCGTGATCTTTGCTCAGGGGTAAAAATATAAATGAAAAGCTTTGAGCGTCAGGTCCCGATTTGTAGTAGAATGAGAGATATTAAAGTACGCATTTAATACTTTGCAGCTCACGTCATCAACATTCCCTTGGGGTGTGATGCTAACTGTAGACTCTACTCTGTCTGAGGCTTTATTAAGACTATAATCTGAGCTTTTTTTTAACACAATCTTACCACAAAGAAGCTGAAACTGAAACTATAACTAAAAAAAAGCTTGTGTTAATCACAGGCTCCTGAAAAAGTGCTATTTAAATCACTTTTATATTTTTTCTCAAGTTTTCAGACTATCTTAAAAACTTTTTTGACTGGTCGCTAATGTGTACATTGTGTCACCATGGTAACTGCTAAACATTTCACCATTAGAGATAAACGCAGAACACCCCCAGCATGATGTCACTGCAAATGATCAATTAGTGAGAATTGTTTGGAGTTCTATTAATCGGTTCAGCCACTTGCTTGTATCCATGGATTTGCTATTTTTTTGTATCTTTGTAACAATTTGTTTGGGGGTCCATCGCCAGCTTGTTTCTATGGATATGTCATTGCTCTGCTTGGAATGTTCCACAGTATGACATTAAACAGATTACCTTGCATTTATTCAATTACATGTGGTTTTATAGTTCAAAATTACCTAGAAAAACAGGCTTTCTGACTGTGAGTGGGGTTGCTTCTTCACAGATCCGACCTTTAACTTGGGCCTGGTTTGGTCTCCATGATGATAGAAAGGTTTAATGCCATCCTGTGAAACCTTTCAGACAAAGCAATAACATATCCATAGAGAAAAGCATTTGACAGAGCCTCCGCCATAAAGGTTACACAATGCACTTTGTAAATAAAATGCCTTTTGTCTGTCTAGATGTGACTTTGAACACGCCAGATGAGCAGTCCATTATAATGTACGTGTCTCAATTCCTGGAGCACTTTCCCGGCATCGAGGAGGTAGGAGTAGTAAAAACGCGAGCATGACTCATATCCACCTACTAGCTTCATTTGAAAAAGCCCTTGTATTTTCAACTGTATTTTTCTGTTTTCTTTCTTTGTCTCTCTTAGCCTGAAGAGCCTCTCCAAGTGATCGAACGCAGCATCTCAATGGGGAGACTGAACTTCAGAGAAACTGATGCAGACCACTTCAGGAATAGGGGAGGGAGAGTACGGGAGAGGTCCTATATGTTTCAAAAGGACAGCTCCGCGCCCCCTCCCAAAATTTTGATCTCTTCTGTATCCGAAGATAGAGGCATTGTATCGCCACCGTTCAGACAAGCTGCTACGCGATCCTGGTCTACAGAAGAGTTTTTATCCAACTCCTCGAATGTAGAAGAGAAAAGTGACAGCAAAACAGAAGATAAAACTGAAGACAAAATCGAAGACGGCTCTAGCAACGTTGTGAGTGAACCCCAAAAAGACACAATTGAAGAACTAAGCAACTCGGAAATAAGCAGCTCGGAATTGCAATGTTCCGAACTACGCGATAGCAATTCCCCGACTGATTCCGCCTTACCTGAATCGGTAATCGGAGATTCGGCTGTAAGCTCGCCGGATTCCTGGATGGAAAGCGAATACAATGTTACGCCAGAGAAGTTTTCCGAAATCCACAGCGATGGTTCTTTGTTTGATAGTGGAACCGCGTGGGATATTTACCGCGCTACGCCGGTGGAGATTACGAATAGCGATGAGGGACTGGCGCCGAGCGAAGATCGACTTTCGGACGAGCAGCAAGAATCGTACATCGACGAAGGAATTTGTTCGTTAAGTTCCTTAGAAAGTGCGCAAGAAAGGGTTGACGTACAAGAGATGAAGCAAAAAGAAGGGGTGAAAGAAACAGGAAATGAGAGCCAGGGAGTAAAATTGGAACAGTTAGATCACAATGAAGAGATAGCACAGATTGACAGAAAAGTTGGCGAGACTGAAAAAGCAAGTGAGTCAAATGGGCTTGACAATGATGGAAAAGTTATTGATTCAGTAAAGCAGCCAGAAACAGAGGAACAGACTATAAGTGTCACAGAAGTTAAAATGGAAGTCAAAGCAACTGCATTTGATGTTGATGGAGAAAATGGGCAGTCAAATGTTGAAAATGACACTGAAGTGAAAAGCAACTCCCAAGTAGCCCAAAATGAACGCCCCAAATTGGATTCGGAAGGTATAGAAGAGGTTAAGCAAGATGATGCAAGTGTTGAAAGTTCTGAAATTGTGGAACATGTTGAGCCGCCAAGTGATTTTAAAGATGATTTAGAACTTTGCGATGACGCTGAAAATGCACCGAGCACCAGCCAGGAATCTACCCCGAATTTGGCACCTATAGCGAGCATGACAATACCACTTATTTCAATTTCTAGCGAACCAGATGACCAGTGTCTGTCAGGGTCAGATTTAGAGGAAAATTTCGGAAGTGACTCAGAAATTAAGGAGCCCGAAGCTAGTGCTGAAAACGAATTTGAAAACCACGGCGTGATCGCGTCTTGTTTCATAACTGAGAACATAGACTTGATAGCGTCAGAGGAGACTTCAGATTTTAAACGTGAAAATTTGAATGAAGAATTTGAGATTGTGGAAGAATATGTGGAGATAATCGAAGATGTAGTTTCTCAAAATGTTGCTAAAAATGAATTGGCTTGTTCAAATTTGCAATCAGATGAGCCAGAGATGGTCATATTGGTTAGTGATCAACCAGGAGAACTTCGCAACACCATTTCTGCATCTGGAGAATCAAACACACAAGAAATATCAATGGGTACACTTACGTCCAATGGCAGTGCTGTTTCTATAACTAATGACTCTGCCAATACGCCTGGAAGCGATTTGTATAAAGATTATAAAGAGGAGCTTGTGGATCTAGAGCCTATGGACTTGTTCTATCCTGACAAAGACGTGCCCCCATATTTAGAACCAACGGAGGATGTCCAAAGCTGGCCTTCTGTTTTGAGTGTATCGCCCTTGCAGCCTGCCCCAGCCTCTCAGGACCCATCAGAGGAACAGACTTTCACCCAGCCAGACGAATACTGGAGCGGGGAACACGGGAAGACTGAAACGGCGCAGGTAATTTCTGTTTCAGACGAGTTTATTAATCCCAACAGGGGGCAGTTAGTTTGAGCAGTAAAAAACACAACCAAACATAAAACACAGTGCTGTTATTCGGAACAAAAGGGAGCTCATGGGGTCAATAAATAGCAAGCTATAGAAGGCTGTTGCGTTTACATTATCACAGAATTGAAATTGAAAGGCAAACAGCAGTAGGAATAAAAGACTGTTTGTTTTAGAATAGGGAACTACATAGCGACGGTCTGATGGCAGTAAAGAAAACTCACTTTCTAACTTACTTAAAATATGACCCTGTGAGCCAAGAATAACTTGTACTTGTAAATGTATATCACATTTTAAAGGTGCAATATGTAACTTGTCATTCTGTGGAACGTTCAGATATTATATTCTTATCTATCTCTGTGGAGACCAGCTGCACACAGATGTGATTGTATTTTTAGCAATTAAAATGAGCTAGATAAATTCATATTAAATTTCTAAACCTTTATCAGTTTGGTGTGTCTATGTCAATTACTGTGCACCAAGGAGCAGATGTTTTGATTTGATTTTCCACATAAGGAAAAATGTAAAAATAAATGAAGACACTAGACCAGAAATGTCATGTCATGTCTTGGAAAATGAAAGGATGTCTAATGTCTGCTGAACCATAATCACACACAGTGATTAGTACAGACAGTTCTTTTGACAGATCCAGATTCACAGTTTGAATACAGCAGTTCTGTCTGTGACAATGTCCAGTGACACAAAGGAGATTCATGTTTTACAGATTCACAGCTCAGACCTGCAGACTTTCACAAGAACAATGGTGTGTCACTGAACGCGTCTGGACTGTCTCATTTGCCCCTAATTATGTTCTTTAAATACTATCAAGACAAAAGAACAAAAGTATTATTCTTTTTTTCTGAATGAAGAACAGCTAAGATGTTATTTATAAAGTGAATCAAACTTCAACAGTGGAAAAGACATAAATGATTCTTAAGCTGCCAATTTCAGGATATTTTAGTTAGTCTGATCTTGGATAGTGAATAAGTAAAGGTGCACTATGTAACTTTTCCAGTGGAGTCCCCACCTTCTTCTGGGAGATGTCATTGCTTTGCCTGTAATATTCCACAAGCATTGAACTTATTTAATTTACTTACTGTGAGCGGATCACTTTCTACATATCTCATCTCTAACTTTACCTGGGTTCGTCACCTGGTTGTTCTAGTGGATATAGATAAGTTAAATGCCACACTGCGGAACATTCTAGATAAAGTACCTCAATGAAAACAAGCAGGTGGTGACCCTCCACCAGAAATGTTACACTGTGCACAAAAGTCCAAACACTGGAGAAGTCATATTTGGTATATACTTTAGTTATCAGGATATGTTAGTTTTGTATGAATTACTATTAATGTTGCATGTTTTCATTTATTCATTTCTTCCTAATGTTTACCTGACCTGATGTGTTTTGCTAATACAGTACTTAAAATGATGGCATTTTTTGAATTACCATGAATAATTATCAGAAATAATTCCAAACAAACAAATTCATGTTCTGTTTGCACCAACAGTATAATGTGTCCCACATTCTTTTTGTGAGGTCTGTTTACACCATTGATCTTCTTGTCCTCTTTTAGATGCCCTCAGAAACCCAGGTTCAAGTGCCTGACCCGACCTTTGACCCTCAGGACTGGTTTGGTGATGTCTCTGTTAAACCTGAGTCTAATGAAGAAGACATCATTGATCTGAGAACAGCTCCTTCTGCCCGAGAGACCACAGACCCCATGAGGTATCAATCTATTCTTATCTCTCTCTCTTTCTTTCTCTCTCTTTCTTTCTGTCTTTCTCCTTCTCCTCCCCCTCCAGCTCTCTTCCTCCCTGCTCCCTGGTCCTGTGAGAAACATACTGTACCCACCGGGAGCTGCCCTGACCTGGCCTCTCACTCCAATACGCCCGACATCTCCTTAAATGTACAGCCCGTTTCTCTATAAAAAGGTTTTATAAGATGAGAGAGAGCTCTAAAGTACACTGTGATTAATTTGACTTTATTTGGAAATAAAGTGATTTGATTGCGACTCTCGTGTGGTGACATTTTGAACTAAATGTCAAGCTTACTGCACTGAAAAAAACACCTGTAACTGTAACTTTATATTCAAGAGATAATTATGTCATGGAGTTATATAACACCTTTACTGTTACTTATTTCATTCACACATTGTCTGTCTATATCTCCAAAGCTCAAAATGCTCTGTTCCACCTTGTGATGTCATGAAGCAGTAGTTTTTAAGTTAACAGCTAATAATAATATCGGCCCCTTAACCACATTTTCTTTTACAATTATTTGTTATGATGGTCACATGTTAATTTTTTGTGACAAAGTTACAGTGAAATTGCTATTCAGTTGTACGAAAAGTATTGATTGTAATATTACCCGCAGATATCGACTCAATGCATATTTTTTACTTGTACATTTTTGTTCAGATTTTCAGCACTTTGATCAGGAGTTTGTAAAAAAGTGCATAAGCCAGCTCGTCCTGTACTTCCCTTGATCCGAGTTAAATCTAAATTATTTATCTTTTTCCCCTTTTAGAAGTTACATTAATAGCTGCAGCACCGGACTGGATGGAAACCAGATCCCTACAGTTCTCCGCCACAGAAAGGGACTGTGCTCCTCACAACACACGGTCAGTTTGAAGTTGTATTTCAGTTTCTTTCAACAATTTACGGTAAATATTGTGGCTAAAAGTCTGTGTATTTGTTTTGTTTTTCTCAGGACAATCAGAGGAGCACTACATCAGCTGCCAGCAGAGACCACATCTCTGATTATGGGTATACACTCTTTCTATTTTTGAAGCTGTTTTGAGTTAGTTCAGTCTTGATTTTAATTTTACCGTTTTTGGGCCACTTGATCTTTTGGTAAACGTGAGTTGGACCTTTTACAATGTTGTGATGCCAAGGCTGATATAACTGTACTTTAACCTTCTGATACATCCCATTTCACTAAGAACAATATAACATAAAATCAATTACATAAAATCTATTAGGAATAGCTTGAAGTATAAATATATTTTTAACTTGAGTTAATAATATATTTATACTTGACTATTAACTTGATAGTCTCGATATTTACCAATATTTGGGTTTCGATACCTGCCAGTGTCCTACCACCCACAAAAGTAGTAATACCATCAAACAATTTCTACCCATATTACACTATTGTCTGATATAATACTATGTTATAATGTTGTTTCCTCATCAAAAATATACCTGGACTTGTGTTTTTTTTCATTTGCACATGTTTAACACAAAAATACCTGCATATTTAGGCTGAATTCTTCTCTCAAACAGAATACACTCCACCTTGTGATGTCATGTGGTGATACAGGAAGTGCTTCACTGTGTTTTTAAACTCTATACACCTTAACTAGAATCATTTTGTATAATTTCAGACCTGGAATTGCTAATCACCACTGAAATAAAGGTAAACGTTAACTTGAAAAGTGACATCACAAGGTGGAACAGAGCATTTTGAGATTTCGAGATGTAAGACTAATAAACAGGGATTACCCAAACATGTGTGAATGAAAAAAAAAACACAACTCCTGGTATGTTTTTGAGGAAGTAACGGCATTAACATGGCTTAAAGCTCACAAGAGTCAATTTGGGGTAATATAGGACCTTTAAAACAAAACAAACAAACAAATATTTAGAATTTCAACTTTTTTGATTGTCCTTTTAAATCTAACCTTTGGTGTTCATGTCTAAAACAGATTGCCAAGATGCTCTGGTGAATTAGGACACCTCTCCCAAAATAAAACATCATGAATATTTAACTCACTGTCCAAGTTAAAAATCTGCTCATTTTCAAATACACCCTCAGTCTGTTCATACTATTCACCCTTACATTTCAGCAGGTACACTGTGCAACTAGGGGGGAAGCAACAGCTGTTTGTCGTCATGGAAATGTTAATTGCCTGGAATGTTCCATAGTTTGTCATTAAGATAATCTTACATGTATTCAACTATAGATGTTTTATTGATACCTTGAAAAACATTCTTACAGTGAGTGGGGCCATCTCTCCACAGATCTGACTTGTAACTTGGCTTGATGGAGTCGCCTGTTTTTCCATGAAAGTAAATGAGTGTAATGCCATACTGTGGAACATTCTAGTCATCGCAATAATACATCTATGGAGACGAGAACAGTATAGCGACAGTAGCTCAGTTGGTAGAGTGTCCACTGATCCGTTAGTTGGCGGTTCGACTCCCACTCTCAACATAAACATTATTGTCGTTGTGTCCTTGGGCAAGACACTTACCTCACCTCACTTTTAGTGGCTGCGTACACTAGTTTATGAATGTGTGTGTGAATGGATGAGTGGTTTCTTGATGTAAAGCGCATTGAGTGCCTTGAAAGTGGAAAAGTGCTATATAAAGATACAACAATTTACCAAGAAGATGACACACCCTGCACCAGAAAAGTAACACTGCGCGTCTTTAAATTGCCTTCATTTTACCCATTGTAATCTGTCTCTATCTCCTTTTGTTTCAGGCTCGGGGACAGCTGGGAGCCATATGTTCTGCTGCTGCTGTGGCTGCTGCTCTATTGCTTCTGGGTTTTGCCGCAGTTGGACCTGAAAGCAGTGCCCAGTCTGTTCTTCAACATCAGACACTAGACAACACACTGTAAAAATAAAGAAATCTACATGAGTTAAAGGTTCCAAATTACACTATTTTCTGATCTCTGTCATAATGTTGTTTCCTCATCAAAAACATACCCAGAGTTCTGTTTTGTTTGATTGACTCATGTAGAAGACACAAATCCTGCATATATGGTTCTATTTGAGTTCATCTCTCAAATACAAAACACTGTTGCACCTCGTGATGTAATGCGGTACAGGAAGTGCTCCACTTTCACTAGAATCATTTGGAGAATTTTAACCCTGGACTTGGCAATCTTTACTGAACTAAAGGTACAAAACATCTGTTAACCTGCAGCTTCATGACATCACAAGGTGGAACAGAGCATTTTGAGGAGACTAAGAATAAAGGATTAGTCAAGCATGCGTGAATGAAACAAAACACTATGTATGTATGTGTGTTTTTGAGGACGTAACAACATTATAACATGACTCAAAGCTCACAAGAATTCATTTTGTGTAATATAGGACCTTTTCAAATTTGGCTTCTGAATATTAAACTAGACTTGTGTAGTTTTGATTTTAATATAAAATCAGTAGAAATGGATTCAGGACCCTCCTTCGACCTATCATGGCAAGACATGGCATAAATTTGAATTTTATTGCAATAAACCACACAAACATTGACCACTGTTAAGTAAAAAGAGTATTTCCTCACCAAGTTCTGTTGATTCAGGCTTCGATCAAAGAGCAGTCTAGTTACATTACATATTTGGTTGTTTTCAGTATAATTTAGCGTGAAATAAGAAACTAAATCTGCCAATGTTTTTATTGGCAGACCATTTTGCTTGAATTAAAGGTAAAATTTGAAAGGTAAATTGCTGTCTATTGCGCCTTTAACTGTTTCCATCACTATTTTAAATTCAAAATCACAAAACATTACAAATAACATTACAAATGACAAATAAATATATATGGATTCACTGTAATTTGTAAGTAATTAAAATATTATTAAAAATCCTTCAAATAAATAAACCTGAACTAGTCAAAACTACACAAATCAAACTTAATATGTTTCATTCCAGTACATCACCTCATGTAGATTACTTTTTGCAGTACATGTTACTACATTACTGCAGTACATTCACTCACAACTGAACTGCCAGCCTCTTGTCCTCGTCGCTTCCTCTGCACCAAGTGAAGACATTAATTTACCTTGTATATTTCAGCTTTTTAGATTTCGCTCATTTGAAAGTAACTGTGGTTTAAAAAGATCTGTGTGGGTGTTAATGAAGGTCACTGCTGAGAATATACAAGTCTGTATTACATAATCATTATCCTTAAGTGTTGGTTAAATTTGAGTGCAAGTCTTCTCTACAAATTTGAGCAGACATTGCACTTAATGGTGAAATCTTTTTTTTTTTTTTTTTTTTTTTTTTTAGTTAAAGGTGCGGGGGCAGCAGTCTGAGTCCCTGCTTAGACTGCTGCCCCCGCGACCCGGTCCTGGATAAGCGGAAGAAAATGGATGGATGGAGTTAAAGGTGCACTGTGTCACTTTTCTGGCAGAGGGCCCGTCAAATGCTTTTCTCCATGGAGATGTTATTTTATTGTCTGGAATGTTTCACAGTATGGTAAACCTTTCTATCTTCATGGAGACCAAACCAGGCCAAGTTACAGGTCACATCTGTGGAGAGGCAACCCTGCTCACAGTCAGAATGCCTGTTTTTCTAGGTATTTTTGAGCTATAAAACCGTCTGTAATTGGATAAATGTAAAGTTGTTTAGTGTTATACTGTGGAACATTCCAGGCAGGTCAATGACATCTCTGTAGAAACAAGCAGGTGACGGACACTCAACCAGAAAAGTTAACGTCTGCCATTTTTCACAAAGTAATTTCTAATAAATCAGCTTACAACTGTAATACAAATTTGACGACATACTGTATATTAGTAACTTGTATTACACACATTGAACAGTGCAGAGTAGAATAAAAAAACAGTCTTTTTTGACTGTCACAGCAAAATGTCTGCCATCTCCAAATATACATATACGATTTGGGTTTTAGTTTAATTCAGATGCCATTCTAGCCACAACCATTTGTATTTATGAGCGTATACTGACATGCATAGTAGTAGTAGTAGTAGTGAGTATACCCCAAGTGTAGTTTATAGTTTAGGTCATTACATATCTTTGACTGTAGTTATTATGTTATCCAGTTTCAGACGCCATTTTGAAGACCTGTTTAGCATTGTTAATCGCTATGGCAGCAGTATGTATTTTTCATCACTCTAAACCCCACAGATTAGCACAGACCTTTCCTTCTCCAAGCAGTGTCCCTCATTTTCATTTTCACAGATTTTGCTCCTATTTATAGACATAATACATGAGTTGTGTTTTAATGCTGTATAAAGCTGATTAAATATTATTCTAACCTATACACAAATGTACAGGCCACACTAACCTGTAGATATAGATGTATACTGGATTACGAATGCACAGTTGCCTATTCAAAAAGCCATTTTGCCCAGCTGAAAGAGATGTTGTATTTTCAAAGTGCTATGGGTGTCAATGCAGGTAGTTAGAAATATAGTATATGATTATTGCTTTAGATCTGTTTAAATGAAGGTTAAGAAATTGCACTTTTAAAATGTATAGGTAAATAAACTGCCAAAGATAGATGCGCTATATTGCAGAATGAACTCATCGTGACTAACATAGAAACACATGCTACATTCAGCCCTTCATTATGTAAAATAGTAAAGTCTATTTGTAATATTTTGTCTGATAAAGTATATGAATGGATTTTTGTATAAAGGTTTTATGAGAAATTCTATAAAATGTTGCTTAAGCTTGCCCACGCCTGCCTGTAATAAGAGAATGCGTTACAGCTCTATTATATTTCTATGTTTTATTTTTTGCAGTGTCTTAATGAAGCACTATGACTGACACATACACACAGCTTTACCGTGCAAAGGTTTTAGGCAGGTTTGAAAAAAAAAACTTACGGCAATTTTTATTGTTAGAAAATTGTTGTTTGAAGCTCACTACATTATACATTTTTGGTGTGTTTTTAACTTTAATATATTGCCAACTATGACCAGTCAGTGGTGAATAAAGTACATCATTTTGAGCCCTGATGAAGACTAAGTAGTCGAAATACATTGGCATGACTATCAATAAATACACCGCAAATCAGAGTGTCTCTGCCATCCTTTTTTCTACTCCACAAGAATTTAAGCCCTCCAATTTGATGAGCACCTGTATGCGCAAGTTTTTGATCCAGTGCAGCACTCCAATATTGTTATTTTTTACAAAATTTAGTTACTTAAGTAAAAGTACAGATACAGGGGCAAAATAATACTCAAGAAATACTCATGAAAAAAGATCTGCTTAACCAAAACTATTCAAGTACCTGTTTAAAAATATATTTTAAGAGTAAAAAGTATTTTGCTGAGATTTTTAGAACAATTAAAGCATCAAATGATTTGAAGTGATTCAGTTGATCTCTTATTTTTTCTAGCTGTGTATTTGTTTTGCTCAAAGTTGGTACGTTAACTCAAATTAAATATACTAAAATAAGTCTCATTTCAGCAAGTCTCAAACCATACAGAAAAGTACTTTTTCTTTTGCGTCTTAGAATCGAGTAGTGGAGTAGAAAGTATAGAAACCTGCTCTCAAATGTAATAAAGTAAAATTAAAAAGTACCCACAGAAATTGTACTTACTTTATTGATGCACAAGGGAAACTGCCCAAAGTTTTAAGTAGTATTAAAACCATCAAACATTAAATCACAACAATAAAATACATACATCTTGAGATTCTTAAAAATAGTAGGATATTGTATTTTTTTGTGTCTTAAAGGTGCACTTTGTAATTTTTTTTGATAGGGGGTCCACCACCTGCTTTCTCCATGGAGATGTGATTGTTTTGCCTGGGATGTTCCACAGTATGGCATTAAACGTGCCTGTTTTGCATTTATTCCATTACAGATGTTTTTACTGATTAAATATACCAAGAAAAACAACCATTCTTATGAGACGCCTCTCCATAGATCTGACCTGTTTCTTGGCCTAGTTAAGTTTTTAATGCTTCATTGTGGAACATTCCAGGCAAATCAAGAACAGCTCGATGGAGACAAGCAAATGGCAGACGCTCCACAAGCAAAGTTACACAACGGAGGACAGATTTTTATTCATGTATTAATTAGGCAAAAACTGAAATTTAATCCAGACCTCTTTTTTTTTAGATGTATATTAAACAGTTTTTGTCAACAGCTTTTCTTAAAATCCTGCCTTAACTCTTTGCACAGTATTCCAATCAATACCCATCCATAAGCACAAACAGGGGTCATCGCTGTCCAAATTGGGTTAAGCTACTGTTTACTGTTCATAATACAGACTTCCTCCAACCACAACACTGAATCCATTCTTTCCAGTTCGGTTCAAACTCAATGGCCGTAGGATAAGTGTCCAAGAGTGGATGAGTTTTGTCCCTTAATCCTTGTGAGAACTGCAAGAGCTGTGTCCCACTTCTATGCCAGCGTATGCAAAGTAATGCTAAATAGCCAATTAAATTCGATCAAACCATGACATGAACTGCTAACAATGTAATTCTGTGTAAAATCAACAAGACCCTGTTGAAATTGTATGTCCCAGTTGTTCTATTGTGTACACTGCAGCATGCGTACCAAGGGTCAGTTGTCATTCTTGGTTAAAAAGGACTGTATAGTTGGCCTTCACAGTTTAAAATAGGAACAAGTGGAGATAGAAAGCAGTTCAATGTATTTTCAAGGATGTATTTGAATGTGTGATTGTCAGTGTCTGCAATTATTTTAAGACCACTGAATAAAACTATTGACAAATACCCCCATTGAACACTACAAGGACTGACTGACCTAGCAAAGTATATTGTTTTTTGTATCTCAAATCGCAAATGTTTTGATTGTTTAACAGCACCGCCAAGTGCAATAAATGACTTAATTGAATTGCTTTGGTCTGTGTCATTTTTTATCATATATTTCCTAATGCATAACAGTGTAATTGGAGAATCAATAAAACATTTATTACTTTGTTTATTCCACTGAGAAGTATCACCAACACATGACTGATGTTAATAATGTTATAATGATAAAGCGCACATTTAACTACACTGTGTTTTTTCCATTTCAACTTGCTAGTTTATGTTATCTGAATAGATCCATGACCTATTGACTCTGTAAATCCAGGCTCAAAATAATTCTGTTTAGCTGTGGATATGACTGAAAGGTTTTCATTCTGCTACTGCTTACTCTCTCATTTAATGTCTGTCTCTCTTTTTAATATTATGATGATTATATATGTTTTGATTTGTTCATATTGTGATTTTATTAATGCATTTCTTATTCTGTAAAGCACTTTGAATTACTTAAAATAACTTGCCTTGCCTTACTTGTGTGGTAATGCTGTCACCTAGTGGACACAGTGTGGAAGTGTCCCTGTAATTAAATAAGGGGGACAAACTTTATTTTGAAATTTGTGAATAAATATATGCATTGGCATTGTTATTCAGGAAAATACACATTTGGTTGAATTTAATCTAGCCGAAATAACCTACATTTAAGATATTTACTGTTGAAATATATATAAAATATGCTTGTTTTTTTAACTGATAAGAATTATTTGAATGTCTAGTAAAAATAAAACAATTTCCAAGCAATTAAAGTTCAATAAGTGTATAAAATGGGAAGTATTTGGTTTCTATTTCAACGAGGTCAGTGACAGATGACCACTGCACATTTCTTAGCCTTGGTATTCACAAAGAAAATGATTTTACACGTGCGTTACGGCTTTCAACGTGAACAAGCCGGCGCTACGCAAGTTACGTAGCTGTTTTTGCGTAGCGGAGGCCCAGGTGAAAGGAAGTGGTCCCACCGTGCAGCAGTGAGAAAAACGGGACAGCCTCAGTGAATGGCAGCGAGCAGATCCACGAATGTATTTATTCCTATTCACCCAAGACGATCAATTAAACAGCGAACGTAAGGTAGGAGCGTGTTTCGACGTATATAATTTGAGTTTCCCTTATTTCTGCAGCATGTGTTGGCCTAGCGTGCTGTTAGCTCTGAGGCTAGTTGGCTGAGTGACATGATGGTGCATGGTAGCTTCCCATTACGCGCCGTAAATTTCAACCAAAGCCGCGGTTTTTACTGGTCTATCCTCGATCACAGCATAAGAATCAGACCGACTTGGGTAAAAATACGAGCGTTTGGACCTTGATGTTTGGTTTAACTGAATAAATGAATTAAAACGAGCTGATTTTGGTTTAACATTAGCTGTCTATGCTAAGTCTTGTATTTGCAGGACGATCAGTAGACGTCTGGCTTACTTACTGAGTGTAATAGGTTGTAATTTGATCATTTTACATTGGGGAATATCAGTGTTTGCTTATTTATAGCCTGTTTTGTCGTAACAATATCAAATGCTAGGTTTATCCATTGGTATGTTGTGTTCCTGCTGCAATTATTCTTAGGCCAAAGGATACTGGACCTCATAATCTTTTCACAGTAGTGGCTAGATATTGTTCTATGCCTGGTCATATTACTTGTGTTCATTCATTGTATTCTCATCTGCTTGCTATAAGTGGGTAGCTTTATGAAAAGTCCTATATATATAAAGCTATACACAAAATTAACTCTTGTGAGCTTTAAGCCATGTTGCAATGCTGTTACCTTAAAAACCGAGCTGGAGTTGTGTTTGGTTTCATTCACACATGTTTGAGTAATCCTTTATTATTAGTCTGTCTACATCTCCAAAGCTCAAAGTGCTCTGTTCCTCCATGTGATGTCATGTAGTGGTAAGTTTCACGTTGACATGTACCTTTTACCTTTTGTTCAGCATGTCCAGGGCTGAAATGATCCAAATGATTCTAGTGAAGGTGTATGGAGTTTAAAAACACAGGGGAGCACTCACAAGGTGGAGCAGAGTCTTTGAGAGAAGATCTGAGCCTGAATATGCAGGGTTTGTGTGTTAAACATGTGTGAGTGAAACAAAACACAACTCCAAGTATGTTTTGATAAGGAAACAACATTATGACGTAGAAAATTGCATAATACGGGACTTTAAACACACCACTGAAGCTCCAGTTGTTGGAACTGTAGACATTTCCCATGTTACTGGCTGGTGCTGAGGTCAGGTTGATAAGTTATCAGGTGCTGTGTCTGGCTGGAATGCACTTATTGACCTAAAGGCAGTTATTTAACTTCTCAAGCTCAATGTCAACACTATGTGAAAAGCAGGCAGGTGTGTCTATGTTAGTTGTTAAATTATATTTATAGTTGTACAATTAATTACGTTTTAATTGAGTTCCATGTTCAGTCATTTCCAATTGTCAATAATCATCTCACTGTCAGTATACGCATGTTCTTTATCTTCAGAATAGTAGTATATTGGAAGCAATTTTATGCTTTTAATGAGACAAAAAAAGTAAAATAAAATCAATATGAGTTGTAATAATGTTCTTTCTATTTTGCAGAGCTGTTGAAGCCATTCACTATCCACGCCACATATGATTTGTTATAGGAGGTGAGCCCTTTGAGCTTATAACACAGTTATTTTGTAATGAAATACATAATTTACAGACCAACCTAAAACTTGTTAGTTCAGTCCCATCTCTGACAAGTGCTGTTGGTGTGCTCTTCGGCAATACACTTCATCCATCTTGTTTGTGGTGTTTGTCAGTGGAGGATGGTGTAGTATTTGGCAGCCTTATTTCTGTCAGTCTGCCCTAGGTCATGGGGCTGTACGATTTGGGAAAAATATCATTTTCAAAATTTTCTGAAAACATTGCAATTGTGATTAGTTTTGTTCACAGAAGAATTGACAAAAAGACTGAAATCTGAACTGCTAAATCTTACACTAAGAATCACTTTTCAGAACATGTTTGTACAGCTCTAAGGCGCAGGGTTTTTATGTCGAATAAGACAGGATATTTTGTTTGTGGAGGAAATCATGGTACTTTGTGATTTGCTAATTGCATCCCTTCTAGAACAGATACACAGAAATATCTTACCATCATTTAATGTAGAGAGAATAAATAATGCATGAAATTGTAAACAGACTTTGAGTGTCTGGATAGATTCTATATGCGACTAATGCATTGTTATTAGTTATTATGTAATTGATTTAATACATTTTGTGTTTGTAGGTTTCATCCCAATCTAATGTCTAATGTGCTAAAGAGACATTAATCATGGAGTGCAGATTCTGTGTTCTCTGCTCTCCCAGGAAGCCTCTGTCATATTCTGTGAGTATTTATCAGTAGTAAAGGATAATAATTAGCATGTGTATTATTAAAATTTCTAATAAAAAATAATGTTTATATTTGACACCAGTGAACTTCTCCAAAGAGGTGCACGATGAAATGAGATAGAGTGGCCGATTGGAGGAGCACCTCACCTCCAGAGTTTGATCATGGCCGGCCTTCAGCTGGTCACTCCCGCCTCCTCACCCATGGGGCCGTTCTTTGGGTTGCCATGGCAGCAGGAGGCTATCCATGATAACATCTACACACCAAGGAAATATCAGGTGAGATCAATGACAGAAGGGAAGGCACAAAGTCAAACTTTACTCTAATGTTGTCATTGTATGCTACAAAAGTAACATCTCAGGAATATATATATAACATTGTGCTGCAATGTGATTCATTCATAGATACAATGGATGAATATGATTTGGGACAAAATGTACATGTTTCATAGACAGTAATATTGTGATCCAAATATATAAAATTTTCATAACAGCATTTCAATTGTCCCTTCATCAGCATTAATTACTGTTATATTAAATATTGTGATGTCTCAGTCTTCAATTTCGTGTCTACTTGTGAAAAAAAAAAAATCTAAAGTCTCAATTCTTATGTGTCCTGTTGTCAATAGAAAATATGATTTTTAGATCCCTAACTGACAAAAGGGGCCTGTCTATAGAAAGTCCAAATAATGAATAAAGTAACTTTGTGTACTGATAATGTGTCTGTTTTGTATTTTCCAGGTAGAACTTCTTGAAGCAGCTCTTGAACATAATACTATCGTCTGCTTGAATTCTGGCTCAGGGAAGACGTTTATTGCAGTACTTTTAACAAAGGAGCTCTCCCACCAAATCCGTGGACACTATGATGAAAATGCAAAGAGGACCGTTTTTCTTGTGAACTCAGGTATTGCTACACAAGAGAAACGGTTTCACAATGGGAGATTATAGTGCTTGTTATCAGGATTTTTTTCTTTAAAATTTAGTCATATTTTTAAACTGATTTCTGTTTTCCAGCCGCATCTGTGATTCACCAGGCAGCGGCAGTCCGAACGCACTCTGACCTCCAGGTGGGAGAGTATATTGATGTGGAGCAGACCTCAGAGTGGAGCGATGAGCGATGGAGACAGGAGATCAGAGAGAATCAGGTGGGTGCAATAAGCCTGTAGTTAGAGCCAGATCCAGATATTAAAGGGCCCAAGATACAATATTTTCAAATATATTATGATGATGTTTTCTCATCAAGAACATGGCTGGAGTTGTATTCTATTTTATTCACAATGTTTAATTCAGAAATCCTACTTGTTTAGCGTTCTTCTCTCAAACAGAAAACTCTCAATTCCACCTTGTAATGTCATGTGGGAATTGTCTACAGGAATACAGGCTTACAAGAATTGTCAATCTGCCAAACTTAAGATAAAAGTTAGCTGTTAAGTTGAAAAGTGCATGACAAGGTGGAGAGAGCATTTTGAGTGTTGGAGATTTAAACAGCCTAATAATTCAGGATTAATCAAATAAATGAAACAAAATACAACTCTGGGTATATTTTTAATGAGGTAACAACATTCTAACACGGCTTTGAGCTTTTAATGTATTTTCTACATATTATCAATTGGAGTTAAGTAAAAGTTTGCTGTATTCACATAGCTATTTCCATTTGAATACTCTTAGCAGCTTGATTTGTCTGCTAGTTTCTCCATATCTCCCACCAGGACTAGTTATAATTAATTGAGTGATTTTTGAAAATATGTCATATGTTTTGAGAAATTACGCAATATACTCTTCTAAAATTTTCTGAAAATGCATACAAAAATGGGCATTTAACATATAAAATAAATGCAGATATTGTCAGCCAGATATGTTTTGGTGTGAGATTTCTGCCTTTCCCAAACCTGAAGTAACATAAACTTTTGGTCTAGAGTTTACAAACGTTCAGCGATCAGGTTAAAATTGTAGGCTTCCCCTTTAAATGTTTCTTTTTGAGGAGCGAGGAGGTGTGGCTAAATCTATTTGACCCGCCCCCTCCTGTAATGATGTATTTCCCTCAGGTGAGCCAGCCTCTGCATGGTCCACAAGTATTGGGTTTATGCTCATACACTGCTTACAATATATAAAGCGTTTTATTGTTTGTTTAGATTTTTTTTTTAGTACTTGAATCAATTTTTAAGATCCCTCCTCTGATTGTCACTCTTTTTAAATAAATTTAGTTTTATTTTTTAAATATGTTTTGTTTTATTTTTATCAGGTGCTGGTGATGACATGTCATATATTCCTGCACATCTTAAAAAACAAAATCTTACCGCTGTCAAAAATCAATTTGGTTGTATTTGATGACTGTCACCTGGCTATCACAGAGCACCCATACTGTGAGGTGATGAAGGTAAGGCTCTATCTAGTGTTTTATTCTGTTTAGAGTATTTGAATAGATTTTGTTCAAACTATGATGCAACAAATATTTTCTTTCATACAATTTGGAATTTTAATGTCTGTTATGTATGCCTGTATTTCATATTTTAACTCTTTCCCCCCTGGACGCCTACTAGGAACAACCCATACATATGTTACTAGGGCTACCCATAGAGCATAATTGCATAAAAGAAAACAGACTTCCACGAGTGATTATAAATGATTTTTACACTCATGAACTTAATTGTAACACAGACATATTTGGTATGTCTGGAAACCTTAGACTCTGAACTCTTCATTTATGGATGTTTAAATGTGATTCAACTCATTTATAGGTGTATAACAGCTCACTGAAAATGAGAGTTTACCTGGTCAGGTGCAAACTCGAAAACAAAAAACTACATTCAGCATCTGATATCTGCATGTTCTGAGTACTATATTCATAAAAAAATAAAAAATATACTTTGTCAAAGTATTTAAACAGATTTCATATCACCAGATACAGTATAGCCAAGTGTACACCTGTTTTTACCTGTTGTACACCTGTGTGCACCCAATATTTTTTTTTTCCATTTAACTTATTCAACTCATTTAGCTTATTCAACTTATTTTATTTATTCAACTCATTTAGCTTATTCAACTAATTTAGCTTATTATAATATGATAATATAATAATAAAACTCTTCCCCGTCAGTGTGTGTCCAGTATTTGTCATCTTGGCTATTTTCTCGTGCGCAGAGCTCCGCATAAGCGTTTTTTCTGTAGCGATTCTGTTATACATCGCATCTTGGGAAAAAAAGACTGAAATATTTTAAAGGACTAGCCTGGGCAACATCCAGATTTCAGGGCAATTTTGGTTCATAATCGAGTATAAAGCTCAGATAGTTTGTTCGGATATCGCAGGACTCCACACAGACGCATCAGCGGCATTCTCATCTTCTCCCCGAAGGTCCGTCGCTATCGCTGTTTTCCACTTTATAATCAACTTCAACATCATCACTTTGAAATCTATAAAAGTCACTTTCTCTAAACTTATCCATAAAATACGTCCGCTCCTCATTATTTCTAAAACTGTGCGCCGCAGCGCCGCGATCTTTCCATTGCTCGTGTTTTGTGTTGTGTTTTTTTCCGGAAGCTACCATCGTCACTATTTCGATTAACTTCGGAAAAAATCGGCGAAAACATATCCTTGAATCCTATTGGTCAGTCTACTGTCGGTTGTAGTGGCCCCCACCTATCACAGTCTCTGTTTAAATGTGAAAAACCGAGCCATTTCTAAAGGTCGTCAAATCTCGTCTTTAGTGATACGGCGGAGGTGTCAAAAGTCGTCATTAAGGGTTCAGGGGGGTCGTCAAATGTCGTCTTCATGGGGGAAAGAGTTAAGGTACATTATGTAACTCTTTGTATCCTTTATTTTGTTTTTAGCTTTTTGAAGGCTGTGGAAGCCCTCGTGTCCTGGGTCTAACAGCCTCTATTCTCAATGGGAAATGTGACCCACTGGAGCTCGAGCACAAAATACAGAATTTGGAGCAAATCCTCAAAAGCAACGCTGAAACTGCCACAGACCTTGTTGTCTTGGACCGGTACTACATTTTATAGTTATAAGCGCTATGTTTGTGTAAAAAAAAAAAAAAAACTTCTGCGAATCTATACTAAAAGTAGTCTGTTGTTTCATGTATCTCGTTTTTAATGCATGCCCTTATTTGTATTTTTATTTTATCATAGTGTTTATTACTAATATTATTCATTGTTTTATGTTGCACCAAACGCCAAGTTCTGAGTGTGGATTTTATTCACTGACAATGGCAATAAAATTGATTTTGATTCTCAATAGTCGTTTGAACAAGTCTTGATACTTGATAAAATATATTATTTAAAGGTGCACTCTTTTCGGTTTAACTTTTCGGTTGAGGGTCCGTTACATTCTTGTTTCTAAGACTATGTCATTGTTCTGCTTAGAATGTTCCACAGTATGACATTAAACAGATCAACCTTACATTTATTCTGTAACAGGTAGTTTGTTGCTCAAAAATACCTAGATAAACAGGCATCCTGGCTGTGAGCGGGGTTGCCTCTCCACAGATCTGACCTGTAACTTCGTCTGGTTTGATCTCCATGAAGATAGAAAGGTTTAATACCATACTGTGAAATATTCAAGATAAAGCAATAACATCTCCATGGGAAAAAAGCATTTGACGGACCCTCCGCCAGAAAAGCTACAAAATGCACCCTTTAGGAAAAGAATACTTGGACATATATATTTTTTTTTTATTGTAATTTTGATATCACAAGGCTTATCAAGACTTTAACTTAGTACAGATATAGAGTTTGACATTTGAATTGTTACACTAATGTATGTTGTGTGTATTTGTAGATATGCCTCCCAGCCAAGAGAGGTGGTTCTGGACTGTGGCCCGTACGTGGACAGGAGTGGGCTCTCGTCACGTCTGCAGAAAGAGCTCAATGAAGCGCTGCATTTTCTCAACGACTGCAACATCCCAGTGTCCAGAGAGGACCGGGACCCCACCTTCATTTCCAAACAGGTGGGGGCAGGTTCAGTTTATATTCAGATTTATATGAATTTAAAACACAGACTTAACTTGCAATATAGTATTCACAGATTTCCCCCTTCTCTTATAAGCAGTATTTTTCATCATTCTGAAATTCTTGGATAAGCTTGTTCTGAAATATCCTCAAAATATCAAAGTCCTCTCCTGGGTGTTTGTAGTAAGGAGTATTTGTAACTTGAATTTGTGATATGTGTTTATTCCAAAAACTTGTCCAGTTGACAGAATTACATGTTCTATTGAATGGAACATACGTGGATGACTTGGGGATTACACAGACACTCCTAATTATAGCTATTTTTGAAAAATTTCACCAACTGTCATAATTGTATAAATATGTCTTCTCTAGCTTGGCAATGTTCCTTTTTTCCTTTTTAAGAGCTGAAGTAACAAGCACTTCTCTATTATTTTTAAAACTGTTTGAAATATGGGCTCTAAAGCGTTCACTGTGGCTCTTTCGTCATCTATCAGGCTTAGACAACCACCCCAAAAATCAATATATGCTTGGCTTTAGCTTCATGGCGTGATCTGTTTATTGAGAAAAACGACTTTTTTGTCTGGTCTTAGCCTTAATGGTGCATTGCGTAACTTTTCTGGAGGGTCCATCAAAGACTTTTTTCCATGGAAATTGTATTGCTTTGTCTGAAATGTCTCACAGTATAGCATTAAACCTTTCTATCATCATGGAGACCAAGTTACAGGTCAGATCTGCAGAGAGGTGACCCCGCTTAGTCAGAATGCCTGTTTTTCTAGATATTTTTGAGCTGTAAAATCACCTGTAATTCGAATAAATGTAAGGTAGAGCTGTTTAATGTCATACCTTGGAACATTCCAGGCAGAGCAATGATATATCCATAGAAACAAACAGGTGACGGACCCCCAACCAAGTTACATAGGAATCCTTTTTAAATAATTTTAGTCAGTCAACATCTGTATTCACCATCTGCAGGTGTTGGGAGACTGTCAGGCGGTACTGCAGGTGCTGGGGCCCTGGTGCGCAGATAAAGCTGCTGGAATTATGGTCCGCGAACTCCAGAAGTACATCAAACACGAACAAGAGGAGCTGACGAGAAAATTCCTCCTCTTCACGGACACCATCCTCCGAAAAATCCACGCTCTGTGCGAAGAACATTTCTCCCCCGCCTCCCTAGACCTCAAGTTTGTCACGCCCAAAGTACTGAGACTGCTGGAGATCCTACACGAATACAAGCCTTTCGAGAGACAGCAGTTTGAGAGTGTGGAGTGGTACAATAATCGTAACCAGGATAATTACGTGTCCTGGAGCGACTCGGAGGATGAGGACGAGGATGAGGAGGTGGAGGCCAAAGAGAGACCAGAGGCGAACTTCCCCTCGCCCTTCACCAACATCCTGTGTGGGATCATCTTTGTGGAGAGGAGATACACAGCTGTGGTCCTAAACCGGTAAGTACGCTCTGTTATCTTCATTTGTCTTCATTTCTTCATTGTGGCTAATGCAAAATCTGGACTTTTGTCATAGAACTACTTATTGGTATCTATCAAATGCTCTAAAGCTGTGAAAATGGTCATAACAAAACTGAGTCATGTGGCGGAAACATAACAAGTTACTTCCTACAGGGTTCTATATTACTGAACTTGTATTTTTGAGAAAGAACAAATACTGTTTTTGAATGCAGCACTTCAAAAGCATGAACTAAACCTCAGAACTAATGTATGGAGCTCAACAGTGACCACCAGTTTTAGTTTCAGAAGTAAATTTTCCATTTATTTTTCACCATAGAATTCAAATATGAAGACCAGCCACGTTGTAAAAAATATTCAAAATGTGTTTCTTTTAAGTTCAAGGAGCACATTTAAAATGCAAAATTCAGTGAAATCAGTTTTTAAGTTTAAAAAAAAATGTTTTATTAAAATTATAGTGGTGATTAGTGTAGCCTATGAAGCCTATTAGCCATGAGCAAGATTTCTAACTTGTAATATTACATTTGTTTCGAAAGTATGAGAAATTTCCTCTATATCAAGTCCTGGAAAGGGTCCTTGGATGCTGCACGGTTGTTCCCCACTGCTTTTGCCCCATCTAGCACTGAAGGATGGGTTAAATGCATAAGACGTATTTGCCTACGAGGAATAAATTGTACCTTAGCATACCAAATTAAAGACTATCAGAGGCTTGGATTTCCTTTGTGTGAGACGTGATTTAAAGGTGGTTAGTGTTGGTTTCCTGTAGTCAGTGGGTGAAATTGAGTGCATCTGTTAGCTTTTTGCTTTAAGCCAAAATACGCCTTACTATTTATTTTTCCTTTCAGTCTTATCAAAGAGGCGGGCAAACAGGACCCCGAGCTCGCCTACATCAGCAGCAACTTCATCACAGGCCACAGCATCGGCAAGAACCAGCCTCGCAACAAACAGATGGAAGTGGAGTTCAGGAAGCAAGAGGAGGTACAGACCCTGCACTAAATCTGTTCTTTTCCTAAAACAGAAATCTCTCAAATACAGTAATAATATAAATTGTGTAATGTTTTCTAGATATTTCACACATAAAAACAACATTGATCCATATATTTTTACTTGTATATGCTGTAGTAGGTTGCTCATAACAAGCCTCACAACAGGAATCTTAACTTAAGAAAGCAATTGCAGCAATTCTAGTCTTCCCCTGCTGTGTATTGTATATATGTATTCAGTATATATATATATTTTTTGTTTGTTTTGTTTTGCATTAATTGAACAAAACAAAGGTCAGTTGTTTGAAGTTGCATTACTACTTCATTAAATAACTTCTTTATATTATTTTAATCAATTCATTGTTTTGCTATCTAACCTTATAAAAACTAAATGTCATCAGCAATGTTTATAAAAATGTGGGGCATGTTTCCACCCACTTATGTCACAATCATTTCTTAAAATGTTTACTCATTCTGCAGGTTCTCCGAAAGTTCAGAGCTCATGAGACCAACTTGCTGATCGCTACCAGTATCGTGGAGGAGGGCGTAGACATCCCCAAGTGTAACCTGGTGGTGCGGTTCGACCTGCCAACGGAGTACAGGTCCTACGTCCAGTCCAAAGGAAGGGCCCGGGCACCTGTGTCCAATTACATCATGTTAGCAGACAGCGAAAGAACCAAGGCTTTTGAGGAGGATCTCACCACTTACAAGGCCATAGAGAAGGTGTGTGTGTTTTTTATTTACACACACACAAAAGAGTTCATGCATTTTGTTGTAAAGTGGTAATTTGAAGTAAATCTAAAATAAAAATTTGCTAACCATTGTAATAAATGAATTAAGCTTTTTATTTTAACTATTATTCAACGACACCACGAATTCCTGTTTCAGCAAGGGATTTTGTGTCAGTCAAACACAACTGCAAAATGGGCTTAGACAAACTTTATTGATCCAGGCAAAATAATTGGACACAGTATCTAAAATGTAAAATAAAATCAATATAAACTAATACACTTGGTAACACAGAGCTTAACAGAAATGCTGTGATGCAATTTTATAAAGGAAACTTTTTTTTTAACCTCATGTTCCCATTATATTAAAATTTTTAACACTGCTATTTTACTTTTTAGATCTTGAGAAACAAATGCTCAAAGTCAGTGGAAGTTGGAGAGTTTGAAGTGGAGCAGATTCTGGACGATGACAACATCCTCCCTCCGTATGTGCTGCGGACTGAAGACGGAGGGCCCAGGGTCACCATTAACACGGCCATCGGGCACATCAACAGGTAAAAATGCAATAAAACATAATTTAAAGGGATTTTTGTGATTGGAAAATTCAATTTGATTTGTTTATTTCATAACAATTTGAACATTTTTGCTCAGATATTGTGCGAGGCTGCCCAGTGACCCTTTCACACACTTGGCTCCCAAATGTAAAACAGTAGAGACAAAAGATGGGCGCTTCCAATCAACTCTGTTTTTACCCATCAACTCCCCTCTCCGTGCCCCAGTGAAGGTAAGAAAACTTATAATTTCCTATTATCTTAATTTCTATTGGCAGTCTGATTTCTGTTGCGAGGGACTGTTACAATCAATGTATAATCTACATTATATTTTGTGTCAGGGCCCTGTGATGAACTGTGCTCGACTGGCAGAGAAAGCTGTTGCATTGATGTGCTGTGAGAAGCTTCACAAAATAGGTAAAGAACATTTTATTTTGTGCAATATTAACACACACGGCATTATTGTTTTCATTAAGATCTCACATACACGTTTCTTCTCTCAGGGGAGCTGGATGATCACCTGATGCCTGTGGGGAAGGAGACTGTGAAGTATGAAGAGGAGCTGGACCTTCATGACGAAGAGGAGACCAGTGTCCCAGGGCGACCCGGCTCCACCAAGAGGAGGCAGTGTTACCCAAAAGCCGTAAGTTTTGTTGTTCGTTGGTTCCATTTTATTGAAAATATTGCTTTAAGATGGGGCCCAGTGGACAGTATTCCTGTGTCAGTTGATAAACTGGGCTACACAGTGCCCAGCACAGCAAAAACGTCCTGGCGTAAGAGGCCAGGATGGATGTGTTCTTTATGCTATGCCAATACTAAAATTGGCATAATTCTTGTTTTTGTATTTTTACTAATTAAATTACATTTTGGCTGCCCCGTTTAAGTGAAGCGCTACAGGCCATAGATCTATTTGTTGTGATCTGAAGCTCAACAATGACTATTAGTTTTTTGCTTTCTTCAGATGTTAAGTGTTTCACCGTTATCTTTTTTTTTTCTTTTTACAGATACCAGTGTGTTTGAGAGACAGTTATGCTGTGCCAGGACAGACCTATTACCTGTATGTGATTGGGATGGTCCTAACGACACCTCTGCCTGATGAGTTAAACTTCAGGAGGAGGAAGCTGTACCCCCCAGAAGACACCACCAGATGTTTTGGGATCCTCACCGCCAAACCTATACCTCGAGTAAGGATCACATGGTCATGTTTTTCAACCATTCTTTGTGGTGTTACTAAGATACTAGGCATGCAACAGTATCTAAATGTCAGTATTAAAAATAGGTAGTAGCTTTCAGAAGAAGCAGATGAGTATTTGAATGCTATAGAAATATAATAGTTCATAAATGGTTATAAAATTATAATCAACATGTCTTCAAAAAAGTCAGATTTTAGCAGCAGCCTTAACTTTGCAATATCACAGTTTTGGCCTGTATTGTATTGTATTGTATTATATTATGTTACCAACTAACCTCTCTGTTGTCCTGTAGATCCCTCATTTCCCTGTGTACACTCGCTCTGGAGAGGTGACCATCTCCATCGAGCTGCAGAAGTCCGGCTTCACTCTGACCCCGGGGCAGTTGGATCTGATCACGAGGCTGCATCAGTACATCTTCTCCCACATCCTGCGTCTGGAGAAACCCGCCCTCGAGTTCAAACCTGTACTCGCCGACTCTGCTTACTGCGTTCTACCTCTGAATGTTGGTGAGTCAGTGAGCAGCTAAAATTTGCTCACAAAAATAATTTATGTTTTATTTTTTACTTTATTTTATGTTTGAACATTCTTTATTAAATTAATTCTTCTGCATTCAAGACACCATTGCTTCAAAAATTCTTCTTGACTTCTTCTTGAATTTTTTTATTTTCTAACCTTATTTTAGTTACAGTAAACAGTTCATTTAGAAAGTGATTTGTTGCAATTAAGAATATTTTTATGGCTATTATAAAGTGGTCTTTAGTTTAATTCTTTTATTGTAATATTTTCTGAGCCCTCTTTTCATCTTTTCTTTTTAGTTGGTGAGTCCAATACTCTGGATATGGACTTTAAGTTCATGGAGGACATAGAAAAGTCTGAGGCGCGCACTGGCATCCCCACTACTCAGTACACCAAACAGACCCCCTTCACCTTCAAACTGGAGGACTACCAGGATGCCGTCATCATTCCAAGGTATGGATGGGACTGGAAAAACACATATGGGGAAAATGTATAAGAAAAACAGTATTAAAGACCACTGATCAAATGATAAAGGGTGCACATTGTTCATTACAAAAAGCTGTAAAAATGGATTTGTCACTGTATCTAAATTTATTGTGGGAAAAGATATTACTGTTATTCACAATGAAAAAGGTAATGCAACATAAAATGACTAGATTAAAAAAAAGTTATTTTTGTTGCAGTAAAGATTGAAATGTATATATTTTTTAAGTTATAGTAATTGCCTGAATACTCTTGACATCATTAAGTGGAAACTAAATGTTAATATGGGAAAATGTAATATAATAAATCACTTTTAAATTATTTGTGACTTCTTCTTTCAGGTATCGTAACTTTGACCAGCCTCATCGCTTCTACGTGGCCGATGTGTACACAGACCTAACACCCCTGAGTAAGTTCCCTTCACCAGAGTATGAGACATTTGCAGAGTATTACAAAACCAAGTACAACCTGGACCTATCCAACCTCAACCAACCACTGCTGGATGTGGACCACACCTCCTCCAGGTCAGAATATCAACACTTTATTTGATAGATTAGCTTTTGTGCCATTATTGATTGTCATTGTGTTTCTGTAGATTAAACTTGTTAACCCCTCGACATCTGAACCAAAAAGGCAAAGCTCTGCCCCTGAGCAGTGCAGAGAAGAGAAAGGCCAAATGGGAGAGTCTGCAGAACAAACAGGTAATCGACCACAGCAATAATTTTTTTTAAGTTAAAGCTGCACTATGGAACTTTTTGGAATTGAGAATCTTCCACTGTATGGCATTAAATGTATGTATCTAATGGAGACAATCAGTCAAGAATGTATGTTTTCAAGATATTTTTGAGCAGTAATAACTCATGTAACTGAATAAATGTATGAATGACTAGTTTAATGTCATATTGTGAAATATTTCAGGTAAAGCTCTAACATCTCTATGGAAAAGTTAAATAGTGTTCCTTTAAATACTCAAAAATGCTGTCTTTGTAGATTTTGGTCCCCGAGCTCTGTGCCATCCACCCCATCCCCGCGTCCCTGTGGAGGAAGGCAGTGTGTCTGCCCAGTATCCTGTACCGCCTCCACTGCCTCCTCATCGCAGAAGAGCTGCGCTCTCAGACCGCCACTGAGGCTGGGGTGGGCTCCCAGACTCTGCCCCCAGACTTCAGGTATTTAACTGGAGCACTACACAAACATATACTATATTTAGTCCTATACATAATGTGCATCAAAACCAATGACCTTTTTGTCTTCCTGGTGGATAAACTGAGTTAAGCTGTATTCACTCTTTAAATTAACCCTCTGTGTGTGTCTGGCAGATATCCAAACCTCGATTTTGGCTGGAAAAGATCCATTGACAGTAAGACGTATATCTCCTGTTCTGAGTCATGTGAGGGAGATGACGAAGGTCACTGTAATCACCAAGAAACTGAAACCTCCGACCCTCCAGTGAACTCTGACCCTCAGATGAACTCTGACGAACCCTGCACCAGGAACCTAACAAATGGCACTGCCACCGTCACCCCGTGTGACAAAGGCCACCCACAAGAGCACCTTCACCCACATGACAATTGCCAACGCTCCCAGCCCAGCGCCGCTGAGCGGGCCAGCCCTGAATCAATACAAATCACTACCTCAGTTCCTGTGCAGCCCGCTCCTCGCTCCTGTCCTGAAGATGATTGTACCCGGAGGACCTCAGATCTCCCAGATAAAGCTACCTCAGTCTGCCCCCGGGCCCTCACAGCACCTTGTCCTGCTCCGGCAGGAGACTCTCCCAAAAGCCTGGGGCCCAACCCGGGGCTCATCCTGCAGGCCCTCACCCTGTCCAACGCCAGCGACGGCTTCAACCTGGAGCGGCTGGAGATGCTCGGAGACTCTTTTCTGAAGCATGCCATCACCACATACCTGTTCTGCACCTACCCCGATGCCCACGAGGGGCGCCTCAGCTACATGCGCAGCAAGAAGGTCAGATCACAACCCTATGTGCTTTTTTAGCCTTTGCCACACATATTTTAAAATAAGCTGTAATATATCCTTTAGGTGAGCAACTGTAACTTGTACCGCCTGGGGAAGAAGAAGGGCCTGCCCAGTCGGATGGTGGTGTCCATCTTTGACCCCCCTGTGAACTGGCTGCCCCCTGGATACGTGGTCAACCAGGACAAGAGCAGCACCGACAAACTGAACTCAGACGAGGTGGGCAAAGTCTGAAATACTCTTCTGTGGCCAGTAGAGGGCAGGCAATAACTTTGTCTGCCTTTGTTTTGATTAGAGATCCTAGACTCCTCTGGTGTAAATGAAAGGAAAATGGATGTAATGTTTCTATTCCACAAAATTGATATAATATGCCTTTAACCCAAGAAAAACATATTTAAGACAATTACATGATTAGCTGAATAGGCAAATGGAGAGGGCGCATTTATCATAACATCAAGCTGTGGAAACAAAGATTGTAAGTGTCTTTGAGCTACTTTGTGAGTTCAGAAGCTACTGGGATTGAAGTAATTTAGCCAGCAACTGTAGAATTCCTGTTTGTTTGTATGGTGGAAAGACTACATAATGACGTCTAATATTATGACCAAAAGTGTGGAATTCTTTCAAGGTAAACTGGCTAAGACTTGGACAGACTTTAATGATCCATGAAGGAAATTACTTGGACTCAGTAGCTCAACAAATACAAAAGGAAAAACAACATGGAGCAAATAGAAAAAAAGATACAATTTGATAAAAATAGTAGAACTTTTGTATGTTTACAGGACTCTACCAGATTGTTGTTTTTTTTTTTTGTATTTGAGGAAAACGTGTCTTGCCTAGTACTGATATATTGTATAAGCAGCTGTGTGTATTGTCTGCATCCAATTATCAAGTTTTTTTAGATTCTTGAAGTGTGTGGTTAGCTTGCTAGTTGATGTTGATGCATTGCTGTGAAGGCAAAAATCCACTCTGGTCTCTCATGAACTCATCGTGGTCAATAATTATGATTGTTGGAATGCATAAAGGAAAGTGAGGAATAACATTGGACCACAGCAAACTGCTTAAAATCAACAAGTCTGTTTTTCTCATTTTTTAAGACTATAAAAATCAGGTACCGTTTCTTTTAAGTATAAAATGAGGGTAGTTATTTTAGGGTTTTTCCATAAATATTCAATTACTGAGTTTCCTAACCCTAAGTACAATGAAAATGTTTAGCTTATGGAAGTTTACACAACACTTAAATTGAACCCAAATTACCCACAAGAGATTTTTGTTATCCGGTCTTAAGCATTTCTGTTTTTGCCATTTCTCAGCCCAAAGAGGAGGTCCTGTCCAACGGTCAGCCCGGGATGGACTCTGACGACGAGTGTGAAGAGGAGGAAGAGGAGGAGCTGCTGATGAAGGACGAGCCAAAGGACGAAGTCAACATGGAGGACGAGCTCGAGTACTACAAGGAGCACATCAGGTTCAACATTTTGAATTTGAATATCGAGTTTTCTACATTTACATAAATTATTTTATTATTATTATTTTAATTTCTATAACTAGTCCAGTACAACCCCCTGTACAGGTGTTGCCTGAAGTTTGTGCTTATTGTTCCTCCCTTATTATAGTTCATATGTCAACTCCTTTATTATAATTGATTAAAAAAGTAAAAGTAAAAAGAAAACCAGAAATAGATGTATTACAGTGAGTGTATGCACAGAATAATTCATCCATAAGTATTTGTTAAAACTATATAGTGTCACTTTTAAACTTCCCATTTGAATGAGGGGTCGGTGGAGGAGTTAATAAAATTTTCCACGGAATTTAAATTTAGCATTTTCATTATTATTTTATTTTATTATTATTTATTATTTCAAATTTTAATTTAGCATTTTAATGATTGTTGTCTTAGTTCTACTTTTTGTATATTTAATAAAGATGAAACACAAAACTAAAAACATATAAAAACACAGAGGAAGTGAGAGCTTCAGGGTATCTTGGTAGAAGTCGAAAAAAACAACAACTTTCAAATACCATGTTAAATTGTGAGTGAAAGGTGAATCATTTGAGTTCGAGTATTCACTGCAGTCACATATTAGTTTTATTTATTTATTTTTCATTAAACCGCCCAGTTCCTTCAAGCTCAATTGTATAATTCTAAAAGTACGACGCTTCAGTGAAATCATATTTTTTCTTTTATTTATTTTCACCAGGTTTATCGACAACATGCTTCTGGGCTCCGGCGCCTTTGGCAAAAAGATCTCTCTGAGCACCTTCACCCCCACCCCCCCTCCAGGCCCCGGCCCTGACTCCCCGTACGAGTGGAAGACCCCCAAGAAGCCCCCTCCCCACAGCTCCGCGCACTACCAGTCCGAGTCTACCCACAGCGGCCCATCCGAGGAATTCGACTACAGCTCCTGGGATGCCATGTGCTACCTGGACCCCAGTAAGGCGGGAGAAGAGGACGATTTCGTGGTGGGCTTCTGGAACCCCTCGGAGGAGAACTGCGGAGCGGAGCTGGGGAAGCAGTCGATTTCGTACGATCTTCACACAGAGCAGTGCATCGCGGATAAGAGCATAGCGGACTGTGTGGAGGCGCTGTTGGGGTGCTACCTGACCAGCTGTGGAGAGAGGGCAGCCCAGATGTTTCTGTGCTCACTGGGCCTCAAGGTGAGATCACTCGGAGCCTGTCTGATTTAACTATATTACAGAGATGTCAGTGCGTTTAGTGGCGCAAGTGTAGCAAAAATATGTCGTTAAGTAGGCCTGTCACGATAACAACATTTGAAGTGTGATATAAATATAGCTATTAAACACTAATATTGCAACTCACTTATGCCATAATTATCCAAGAGCAGATTTAAACCACTAAAACTATTCTAAATGTACAATATTGAGCTCCAATAAAAAAAGGCAGAATAAAACACTTTAGTACTTAGTTTTCATCTGTACAAGGAGTCATAGAAGCGATTAGTTCAACTTTTTATGGCGCAAATCTTGTCGTATAGCCAAAAAATATCAACAAATTTCCCAGTAATGCAAAGAAAAAGTTGAGTATTTAAAAGCTGACTGTTTATAGTGACAGAATTACTTTGACATTGAATCTGAATGAGTAGAAACTTTTTTTTTTAAATAATGAATTATCAAGCTACAAATCTGTGAAACAGCATATAAATATACTCAGTAATATTAAGTAACCCATGACACTGTTGTAGGATATAATTCATCAGGTATCAGTTTTTTTAGTACTTTTTAAAAAAAATATTATTTTTTTAACTGTTATATGCTATGGCAACAGTGCTAATTTTCCATCAGTCTAAAGCCCATAGAGTAACTTTATGCAAGGTTGTATTTCTTCAACTAAACTGCAGATGGTGTACTAATTTAATTTAAAAAAACATGTAAAAATAAACTCTTACAAATATGTCTGGACCATAACAACAATGTATATATTTAGCTTCATTTAAATAAGTGTTGTCTCTGAAAGAGTAAAGTATGAAATCGGTTATCTTCTGGTGTGATTTTGATGTAACATTAATATACTGAATGTTTACTGCCTTAAAAAAGGGATAAATAAAAAATAACTGGATGGAGAAACCATCAGAGACAGGGGGTAAAGGGTTAAGAGGATAATATTTCCAGAACAGCTTAAGTTACAATTATCCCTGGATGGAAAATCACCACCGATCTCCAAATCTGAAATGTCTTAAACAGAAACAGCTTGTACATCTGCTCCGCTCTGTTGTCTTGTCATCAGGTGCTACCACTGGAGAGGAGCATCTTGGAGAGCCGCCCCACCTCCCTCCTCCCCTCCCACCACATCCAGGCTCTGGACCTGGGCTACGGCTGGCTCAAGATCCCCCCGCGCTGCATGCTGGACCACCCCCACGCCCAACGCACCCTCCTCCACCTCATCTCCGGCTTCGAGAACTTTGAGAAGAAGATCAACTACACATTTCAGAATAAGGCCTATCTTTTGCAGGCCTTCACCCACGCCTCCTACCATTACAACACCATCACAGGTTTGTGTCCATGTTATATTTGGACAAGCTAAAGAGAAACAGCTGGGTCCAATGCTCCCACTGATCTAAACATTTGGAGCTCATATTTTGATGTACGGAATTCACTGGGTTTATATAATTGCATAAGTATGTTAAAATGCAGCTGGATATTCCCTTGTCTTTTTAAATCCATTATTTATTGAGGAAAGAAAAAAAGCAAAACCCCTATCGAAGGCTCAGGGTTCACATACAACGGGTTAGGATCTGTTTTGATTATAAATTTGGTAGAAATGAAATTATATGGTGGGAATTTGCTTATGGAATCCAATTGGGCGTTGGGTGTTGTCTTCTATAGAAAGCAACTGAAAAAGTCCATTATCACGTAATATTTCAACCAACCAGCATGTCACAAAATCTGGTAATAAAAATATTAGTTTTATGCAACTCGTATAATTGGATGCATTTAATGTTGTAATTAGGAATGTAACGATCACTGAAATATCGTGATATCGTATCGTCAAAGTTCTCACAATAATATCATGGTCCATCACAATATATCGAGTTACAAGTCTCTGCTTAAATTAAGAGTTATGATGCAGCAACAGCTAGAAAAAGACAGAGGGAACTACATAGACCATGATCCTTTGGTCCATTTCAGTGTAGTCTACAAGAAATAACAGTTCTAAGCACTTTTAAGTCTTAGTTCTTTGGATTAAGTCTTGTCAAGGCATTTTAAGAGGAAAAAGTAGCATATTCACAGTTTTAGCTGTTTAGTCTCCACAAAATATCGCAATAAATATCGTACCATGAGATGTATATTGTGAAAATATCGTACTGAGAGATTTGGATATTGTAACATCCATAATCGTGAGTCTCCCCATCATATTGTGAGCTTTCCCACGATAGCGCAATAAATATCGTACCGTGAGGTTCGTACCGTGACGATATCGTATCGTGAGACGTGGATATAATTACACCCCTAGTTGTAATACTATCTGAAACTGAGAAGTAGTTGTGCAGATTCAACTGAAATACAGCTTCATTCATTTCAGTTTTTAATTTTACACAAACGATAGATCGGTATCTTCATTGCAAACTTGCAGTCCATAGTAAAAAACAGACAATACCAATCAGGGTAATTACTAGGCGTGTAAGAAAAATAAGATTCAGTGATACTGTATATATCGTAATACTTCATTGCACAATTCTCGAACCGTTTCAAAATGCATTCAAATTGATTTTTTTAAGTAATATTTTTCACAAAAATGTATTTGTTACATTCTCTGTTTTCATGATTTAAAAAATATACAAATATATTTCATACAGTTTTCTTCTCATGAAGGTGTAGCTGACTATATTAGTAATATTGATAAATCTCAATATTTCATCCACTTTGTAATGTTTCACAGTATGGCATTAAACCTTTCTATCTTCATGGAGACTAAACCAGACCAAGTGACGGGTCCAATCTGTGGAGAGGCAACCCCACTTAAAGTCCGAATGCCTGTTTTTCTAGATATTTTTGAACTACAAAAACACCTGTAATTGGATAAATGTAAGGTAGAGCTGTTTAATGTTATACTGTGGAACATTCCAGACAGAGCAATAACATCTCCATAGAAACATGCAGGTGACTGAACTCCTAACCAAAAAGTTACATAGTGCATCTTTAATAATAAGTAAATCAATATTATATCAAATGAATGAATAAATAAATATAAATTAGCTCCAACATAAACAACGGCTGTAAGTGTGCCATCATGACGGATGTAATACCAATGATCTTACTGCTTTCCCTTCTCCCCTCTTCAGATTGTTACCAGCGGCTGGAGTTTCTTGGCGATGCAATCCTAGACTACCTCATAACTAAGCACCTTTATGAAGATCCACGGCAGCACTCGCCCGGCGTGCTCACAGACCTGCGATCCGCCCTCGTCAACAACACCATCTTTGCCTCTCTGGCCGTGAAGTACGACTATCACAAGTACTTCAAGGCCATCTCCCCCGAACTGTTCCACGTCATCGATGACTTCGTGCAGTTTCAGCTCGAGAAGAACGAGATGCAAGGGATGGACTCTGAGGTGAGATTAATAAATTATAATGCATCACCTTTTTTCCTAATAATACTTGGTCTAGTTTTTCATGTAGTTTAGAGTCTTACATTACACAAAATTGACTCTTTGTGAGCTATAAGCAGTATTAGAATGTTTGTACTGCCTCAAAAACATACCTGGAGTTGTGTTTTGTTTCATTCACACATGTTTTAAGATGTAGACTGACTAATAATAAAGGATTACTCACTCAAAGCTCAAAATCCTCTGTTCCACCTTATGATGTAATGAAGCTGTAATTTTCAAGTTTATAGCTACATTTTATCTTTAGTTCAGTAGAGAGTGACATTTCCAGGGCTGAAATTATTCAAATGATTCTAGTGAAGGTGTATGGTACTGTACTATGAGCCCTTTAATCTCTTATAACATTTTGTACAGTATTTATCCAATGGTACTTATTCTATTTTAACTGTACTACATTATTGTGCTTCTCATGGTTAAACTTTTCTCTTTATAAATGACCTGATGAGCCTTTTTTGCAGCCACGATCATATTTAAAACATCTGAGACCAAAAAATAAGGTACAGGAAATCGAGACAGGAGGTAGAAATTTGCACTTTTAGCAAAACCTGAACGTTTTTGATCAATGCGGGTTGAGTATAAATTGTCAAGTTTCATCGAATCTGAAGTACTATTCTGCGAAATGGTCCCACAATACGCATTAATCCTCAACAACAAAGCCATAAGAGGAGAACTAGTAACCTAACCTTTGCTCTCTTTTTTCCCATTAAATGATATTCCACATTCAAAAATGACCTCTGTGTAACGGGGCTGTCAGCTTGTATGAATCTGGTTCATATTCACATGAGTTCACGACTAAAGAGAAAGTCCAGTTGGATTTAATTTGGCTGGAAATGTCGAACTTGGCTCAGGTCTGATTCAGTTCTGGAGAAGTACTGTTATGCCTTCAGGACAGAGCGTATACAACTATAGGGGGGAAACAGAGAAATGGGGAAATATGCTTTACTAATATGGACCTATTCAAAGCTATCAACACAGCTTTATAGTGTATTAAAGTTTTGCTTTCTGATCTATGTTGTTGTTTCCTCAGCAAAAACATGTCTGGAGTTATCTGTTTAACGCACAGACCCTGCATATTTAGGATGAGTTCTTCTCTGACTCTGAGATGAGAACAAACTAATAATAAAAAGATTACTCAAACATGTGTGAATAGAAGAAAACACAACTCCAGTACGTTTTTGATGAGGTAACAACATCATAACATGGCTAAAAGCTCTCAAGAATCAATTTTGCGTAATATAGGACCTTTAACTAATAGTAAGAAAAAATGTACTTTTCTACCAGCGTTCAGTTGTGATTTGTTTTCAGCTGCGGCGCTCCGAGGAGGACGAGGAGAAAGAGGAGGACATCGAGGTGCCCAAAGCGATGGGGGACATCTTTGAGTCTCTGGCCGGAGCCGTTTACATGGACAGCGGCATGTCCCTGGAGACTGTGTGGCAGGTGTATTATCCAATGATGAGGCCACTTATAGGTGAGAGACAGGGTTATGAATTGAATCAGCTGCTGAATGAAAGCATGCTCAGATGTTTGATAGAATGGTTTGGGTGGAAAATATACAAACTTTGTGATTTGTCTATTTACAGAAAAATTCTCTGCCAATGTGCCACGCTCTCCCGTGAGAGAGCTGCTCGAGATGGAGCCAGAAACTGCCAAGTTCAGGTACTGAGTTTTGATTTTAAAAGCACAACTAGGAAAACTTGTCCCCCTATTGAGCATTGTGTCATTATTTTGAAAAAGTAATACACGTTCAGTTACCTTTGGATTAAATTCCTAAATTAAATTCACACATTTTATTTCTGTTCACTCTTTAAGGTTGATGGCAAACGGAGAAAAGGCTACTTTAAGCCAACATATTTGCATAGTTTTTGTCAGTGTAGTAATTTTGTGAACAAAAACTTGAACTGAATGGGAAATAAACCTTAGATTAAAGACACAAGTATTCTTAGCATCTAAAAAAAGTGAATGGAAATGACAAGATTCCTGATAAAAATTAAACTAATTTACTTTATTTACTCAATCTGGACTACTACCTTGTAATAAGTCTAAAACTGATTTTAAATGCTGATGCTTTATTTTTTTTTTCACAAATACGTAACTTCAGATGGATTGTGTCACAGTTAGAATTAGGGCTGGTTATCATTCAGTTGTCGATACGAGAAATACGTCGATACATAAGCCACGATATAATTCATACTTCGATGCAGTGAGTTTATGATTCGAGGCGATTCAATACAGTACATTTCAAATTGATTTGATATGGTTAAAAAAAACGAACAACAAAAAAACACTTCTTTTGCAAAGATAATATCAAACACAAACATTAAAACATATTAAAACTGTGAAAATGTCAAATGTGTTGCATAAATGAGTTTCCTTCCTCTAAACAAGCAACAGAACTGTTGCTGTAACAAAATAATTCAGTAAAATCAACCAAAAAATACTCTTGCTGATATATCAATACAGCAGTCCATGATATCAATACTGTATCATCACATTAAACGATATATCGATATTTCTGCTTAGTTAGAGTGTAATCAAACACACTTTGCATAAGATGTACAGGTAAACTGTGTAGATCAGATTTAGAATTGGTCAATTAAAATTATTTGCGTTAATTCCCTCACAAGTTTCTCGCTCACTCCACACTTTCTTTCTGCTGCTCAATTACCGTTTTCTGCAGCTTTTTCTGCAGGAGACATGCGCAGAAAACTAATACACAAGCCTAGAGTGCCCTCTCGCGGCTGTCACTCTGAAAATTTTAATATATAAGTTGCACCGGAGTGTAAGTCGCAGGACCACCAAACCATGAAAAAGTGCGACTTATACTCCGAAAAATACAGTACCTTTTTGCTAATGAGAGTAAAAATAGGCTTGTCTGTATGAATATAAAAGTTCAGCAGATATAAGTATATGTCATTGGAGAGAGACATGAGGGTCCTCTTCAGACGCTGGAGTAACTTGAGAGTGCACAGCTCAGTCACGTCTGTTTAAGTATAGATCCAGTCAGAGGGCTGTCTGTGACTTTTAGCAAAGAGAACAACAATTCAACTACATTACTACATGCCTTTTATCTTGGTATGTTCTGTTTTCTGATTGCGTTCTGTCTCTGTCTCCCCACAGCCCTGCAGAGAGGACCTACGACGGAAAAGTGCGCGTGACGGTGGAGGTCGTGGGGAAGGGCAAGTTCAAGGGCGTGGGGCGGAGCTACCGTATCGCCAAGTCCGCCGCCGCCCGCCGTGCCCTGCGCAGTCTCAAAGCCAATCAACCTCAGGTCCAAAACAACTGAGCTACACCACAGCTCACTGCATTAGCACCTAAGCTAACGACGCACTTCCTGACACGGCGCGACGCTAGCTAGCCCCGTTAGCCTTTTTCGATGGCGCAACCAAGGCAACCAGTCCGGAGGAGAAGAGACGAGGAGAAACACGGAGACGGAGCTCACGCAGATTTCATTACTATCATCGGATTATTTACATTTTTAATTTGCGCAGACACAATCTTTTTACTTTCCTTTTCTTCGTTAATCACGTGAGTGCTTTATTAACGTTTAGCAAAAGTGTTTTAAAAAATGAAAATAAGGTCAGGTCGCTATGTCTATTCCGCATTGTTTTCGGTAATGTCCGTGAGATGAGGCTTACTGTTGCTTTTTGTGTAGTATTAGATTTGTAAATAGTTCAATCAAAAAAAAAAAAGTGTAAATCAAAAGATGTAGGAAAAAAATATACAAAAAATGTGAAAAAGACAAAAAAACGAAACGCTAAACTCCTCAGCCTGTGCACTAGAGCCAGTCCGTTTTGAACCTGGCACACAGAAACCACTGGAGCAACTCAAAACCTGGTGGCACCTCCTTCTCTTGAAATGGTTTCCTGAAATCATTTTGCACTTACTCCATCTTAGGATCTGTTATTTTGACAATTGCGTGGTCACGTTGACACCAAAATCATATAAGTAGCAAAGTATATAAATCTATTTAAAAAAAAAAAAAGAATTATAAGTGATAGTCCTGAATAGGAATTTTCAACATTCCCAGTTACTGTAATTTAGTTTTTAAAGCGCATGTTCTTGTAGCTATAATGTAAAAACCATGACAACTGGATGGCTTCTATTATAAATGTTGAAATCTATGGATATATCTAGACCGTGTGTGAGAAAGCGAGATCTCTATGGCATTATCTTGGTGACTTTTGGTTTCTCGTGTTTTGATACTAGAACGAATGGTGACAATATTATATCATTTTGCTCTGTCTTTCCAGTTTTTATATATATATAGAAAGACATCACATGTAAAAAAAAAAAAAACAACAAAAATAATGCTGCAGACTTTTTTCTAAACAATTGGAAATTTTTCAGATACCGCCAATCATTTCAATCGCACTAGTTACTTTGCATCCCATATTTACCAAAGCAACCGTATATGACGCTATATAAGGCTCTAGACTCCTTGATAACGCAAGGAAGCCAGACTTTCATACAAATTCTGCTTTTTTTTTGCCTTTTTTTCTCATCAGTAAGCCCTTTTCACTAAAATACCTCAGTTAATTGCATGCATTTTCTATCTATATATTTTGTTTTGTTTGGTGCTATGTTTTTTTTTTTTTTGTATTAAGCTTGAATTTCTCAACCTTTTTGCACTGTAACTATAATACCTCTTTTGACTTTTTTTTTTTTTTTGGAATCTGTTTTGGTTGTCTTGTTTGCCAGCCATCAAAGCTGCAAAAGAGCGCTGCGTCCGTGTCCCCCCGCCCCCCCCCACCCCACACCTAACCCTCCCCCTTCCCATACTTGAGGTTGATTTAAACTTTGGGGGAGATGGCGAAATGTCTACCCTGCACGAAAGCTTTTATATCATTTGGATAAATCGGTGAGCAAAAAGTTTGATCAAATTAATGCTTGTATAGGTAATCGGATTGCACTCTGAAATTTTAAGCTACAGTTTTTGTATTTCTGAACTTGACGAAAAATATAAAAAATGTCTGCCGGTCAAGTAGTCCCACCCAAAGGTGCCTCTACCTCATGTGACGGTGCACTGGAGTCGTATTATAACTGTGGCAGTGGCAGGTCCGTGAGCTCTAGGCTGTAGAATCACTAACTCTGAATGCTCCAATGGTGTGCCTTTTCAGTGAGCAACCGGCCTCAGCAAAAGTGAATGGAAGTAACAGGATAATGCTTTTGTTTACTGAGTTATTATTATTATTATAATATATATTCACACTGTTATTGCAAGTAATTATAAAATTAGAGCTCATACTGTTATACTTTTTAAATGCTTTTGGACACATTTGGTGTGGACCTTTTTAACTTCAAATACAAATTCAAAAACTTACTAAATATTTGAAGGTACGATATAGAATTTTTTTATTTAAAATTTGGGAAACATGACCTATCTGTTACCCCTGATGTGTGGTACACGTTAAAATCAACTATTGACTAAAACTATCAACTATTAATGCAGATTTATTCTTAATTACAAAAACAGTGGACGTGATGGACAGTTGCTTATGTTATAATTTGGTGATTCAGGTCTGAAGACGATGATCCAATCAGAAAGCAGAATGAGCCTCACATGAGTCTCATTTCGGTTGCCAGTTTCAATCCAGTTGGTTTAAAATCTAATGCCTCAGATCTGAATGGTCATTACGTAAACCCCAGCATTAAGCAGTGCTAGTGCATCCTCTGCCGCTCATGGAGGGAATTCTGGAGGTTCTGAGCTTTCCTAAAAGGTCTGTCCGTATACTGAGAATGAGAAAAACTTGGATGTTTTCTCTAAATGCAGGTTAAGCCACTGGCAGCCTAGATTCAGTTGTGATTGTGCTTCCTTTTTAAACCAGAAAGAGCGCCGGGTATGTACTATAACTTTTAAGCTACAACATGTTTTAAATTCAATCTTTAAAGTAGAATACTGGATGTAAGATCTCACAGTCACTCTTTGCTGAGCCTGGTTTCCTACTGTTTGCCAAAAAGCTTGTTTAATTTCGTGTGCCATACCTGTCCATCTGGTGCACCTATTCCCCCATGTGAATTCGAGATGTGAAAAAAAAACCCAATGTGAATCCACTGCTGGCTTAGAGCTTCAGTAATCCTGTCACTGCCCTCAACAAAGTGCAGTCTGTCAGCAGTTCTCAAGCCCGGTGTCGCCCCCTGTTGTCCACGAGTATAACGACACCTCGATATGACTTTCCCCTGTCACAAAAAAAAACAAAAAAAAAAACAATGGTGGAGTTTTGAGTGCATTTGGCTTTCAATGTAGAGGGAGGGATTTACGAAGCTTAACGAATGTGAAATTGAGCATACACAGTGCCACACCTATAATAATTTTGTGTCTTGATTTTAATTATAACAAAAATACATGTAAGCCTAATGTGGCGTCTGTACCCAAACTTGTATATTTTTAAATTGTTTGCAAAAAGTAGTGTCATTACAATTAACTACTTTCAGGCAATTTTACTTTCATTTTCTTTTATTATTTTGTACATGTAGCACAATCGAGCATTGCACTTGGGCGCCATACGTTACCTCATGTCAAGAGTGTGAAAGGGAGAGAGAGGATAGTCGGAGAAAAATAAGATTTGTAAATACAGTTTTAAGATGCCGTGACGTCTGTAGTATTTGTCCGCTGGTATTATTTGACAAATGTGTTTTTCAATGGACAGTAAAGAGCTGTGTGAGTATACGGACATGCAAGATCAGACAGTAAAAGTGCATTGTGTAACTTCTCGGTTAGGGGTCCGTTACCTGCTTGTTTCTATGAATATGTCAGTTCTCTGCCTGGAATGTTCCACAGTATGCCATCTACCTTACATTTATTCAATTACAGGTGGTTTTATAGCTCTAAAAATCTAGAAAAACAGGCTTAACTTGGTCTGGTTTGGTCTTCTTGAAGATAGAAAGGTTTAATACCGAACTGTGAAACATTCCAGACAAGCCAATAACATCTCCATGGAGAAAAGCATTTGATGGACCCTCCACCCGAAAAGTTACACAATGTACCTTTAATGTTTCATCAGTGGTGCATGTTTCTTATTGTTTTGCACAGTCCTTTGTTGAAAACCTATTAGGAAAGATCCCCTCTAACTGCTGCACTAACTATATGGATTCATTTAAACTAAAACTATATAAACTTATTCATTTACGCTATGTATTTTAACTGCAAATGTTAATTTAAAGCTGCACTATGTAACTTTTCCAAATGGATACTTTTTTTATAGCTTTGCCTCAGATGGTGCCACCTAGTGCCTCCGTTCAATTTCATTTCTCTCCAGCGACTAGGCCAGGAATCAAAATACAATAGACGGTTCGCAAAAACCCCGGAAGTGCAAGTTCGGGCACCAGCCAATCTGCGACGTGTGATACATTCAGTGTTGTCAACAATTCCCGAGATTGAGGATTTAAACAAAGAGCATGTTTGGTGAATTTTATCAAGGGGAAAGACGTTCTTTCTCACACGGGATTTGGGAAAAGTACATCACGACCAAATAGCAGCGATTGGTTAAATGATAAAAAGTACCCGCCTACCGTCGAGCGAACGAATTCTAACACCGCGAGGTCAGACGGTTTGTACGAAGTGAAACAAAGTAAAACCGACTGATGAATCAGGCTAGGGATGTTCCACAGTACGGTATGGAGAGCCAAGCTCGCTCAAAGTAAGAATGCATGTTTTTCAAGGTATTTTTGACTAATGAAAACACTGACTAATTGAAAGAGATTGCTCAAAGTTACATAGTGCCTCTTTAAGTTGTGTTTCAAAGTTGTGTTCAGATTCAGACATGCAAAACAACACAAATAAATGCATTGTGAAATTATAGGATGACTTTTTCTTAACACCTGCCATTTACAGAGCAGTATTTCACCTATTTGCCATAGTTTTGTATTTTTGCCCTTCCTGCAGGGTCGGACTGGGGCCAAAAAACAGACCTGGACTTTTCCCCCACAAATCGGCCTACGGTGGAAATTGAGCCGTGGTCTGAGGTTGCCCACCAGGCATTTTCCCAGTTCGAGCCTGCCTTCCTGACACAGCCTTTCGTTTACCTGGTTTTAAAAACTACTTACAAATTTAAATATGCAAATTATTTTACTTTGAGGACAAAAAGTTGCTTAAAAAAGTTTTCATTTTAGCGTTTAAATATTGTAGTTTCTCTTGATACGTTACTGCCCTTTTTATTTTAAATACTCTTCCAAAATCGTCCTCTTTTAAATTGTTACGTAGTTGTATTTGAAAGCCTTGACAATTTATTTTAACTTACCAGCAAATAATAGTGGGGATTTTTCCTTATACGTTTGAAAGTGTTAACTATAACGACAATGATTCAAGTCTGAGTTTTGAAGGCATCTGGATGAGTAAAAAACTTGTAAAGCCAGCATGGATTTTAGAGCGGTGACAAAGTGGACGGAGCGTGTAGTATTTCAGTCACCAAGCAGCTAAAAACACCAGCAAAACGAATGGATCAAAATGAACTGTCAGTGGAGGAAAAATGGGCCATCGTAATCTGCAGCAAATGTTTAAAAGTGCGTTGTGTAACTTTTCAGGTGCAAGGTCTGTCGTCTGATTTTTTTTCTTCCATGGAGACTATCGCTTTGCGTGAAATGTTCCTCAATAGCATTAATCTTATCTATCTTGCTTTTATTCAATTACAGATGTTTTTATTGCTTAAAACACAAACAGATCTGACGTGTAACTTGGCTTGGCGGTGTCACTTTTTTTTTTTTTTTTTTGTCTACATCCAGATAAGACGCGTTTAATGCAATACTGTGGAGGATTCTGCAACATCTCCATGGAGACGAGGAAGTAACAGACCCTCCACCAGAAAAGTTACACAGTGCACCTTTAAGGGACAATGTAAAGGACTCCTCACTCATACTGTAATACCGTGCTGCAGTGGTTTGCGGTCTGCACCTTATGGATCACAGATACCTTTATTGTCTTTTATTATTATTTTTTCCTTTTTTTTTCTTTTGTAATTGTAGCCCAATATATCTACAATAAAAGTAATGGTATGGTCATTACATGGGTTTGACTGGCTCTTTTGTTTTCCAAGTTAAATAGTGCTGTTGTGATTTTTTTAATGTAATAATTATACTTGAAAAATTATTGGCTATTTTTTATTTATTTGCTATGATTTTACAGATTTTTTTGGATAATTTAAGGATTTTCTATATCACATTTTAAACTGAGAAAAAAAGGAAAATGTTATCTTCTCTTTTTAAGTGTCTACATATTTTTTCTCTATTTATACATATGACAAAGAATAATTATAATTATTTTGTTTTAGAAGTTTTACCCTGTTGAGATAGAGCTATAAAGTCGTCGGAATTGGACCCCTCTGGACACCAGAAAACACAATCAGAAAGTGGAAATTGGGTAAGCTTTTGAAGAATAAACAAAAGATCATGACATGCTAAGAAATCAAAAATGTTATGTAAAAGCAATTAAAAATGTTATCGTATTTCAATTAACATTCCATTAAAAGTACGTGATTGTAGATTTATATTGACCCGTTAAAATCCTACGTCAGAATGTTCAAAATTCTGGGATGGAGGCAATTGGAGCCAAAGAGAAGCAGACATAATATATTTTCAAAGATCTGTTTATCAGTTAATCAAAGTGCGAATGATTTTACAACATTATAACAGAAATAAACAACAATTTTACATTTCCTGAATAGATTTTGGTTAATTAGCTTCTCTGTTAAAAATGATTAGAAAGAAGAATTAAAAAATCTGCATTTCTAACCTCAAAGTTGTATTCGAGCTTCACAAAAAGTATAATTTATGATGAAATGTGAAATGAAGTGACAAACTGTAGTAGGTTCTGGATTTTTCCTTTGTCAAAAATACTTAAGTGTTTATCATAATCTCTTCTTCTTTTAACAAGTAACGTAAAACACTATTGTAAATATTTTTAAACACGGCTCTGATATCACTCACATGTATCGGGTGGTTTTCATTTGCCAAATTTCCCTGGATTTTTCATATTTTGTGACATTCTGAAATTAATCCCGCAGTTTATCCAGTGAAATCACATTACGCTCCACTTCACTTTTGCCTCCAGTCGCCTCCATTCTGGAAGTTAGTTCATTTTTGCTTACAATTTTTTAAAGGATCTGTATGGGATGAGGAAAAACTCTTCTCGCCCTGTTGTCCAATATGTAATTTGCAGATGTTATAATGCCAGAGCGACCCCCCCCGTTTATACTGAGCCTGGTATTGAAACGAGATAATATAAATACAACATAATGGGTCAAAGTTGGACTGTTTCTGATTTGTTTAAGAAATGTTGTTACAGTATATCAGAACTAGTTTCAAACCACAGGGTAATAATAAAGAAATCTATCATTTTGATTTGAAAATGTGATTCAATTTTAGAAACATGTTTTTATTATCATTGTTGTAACAAAATCAATATTACGCCTTTTCCTTAATATCAAAATTGAGTTAGAAATTGCTATGAATAGACTGTTAGATAGATTATTAAATGTCCAATTACTATTATTTCTAATTATTATTCCAGTTATTATGCAGCTTTATCTCTGTTGTATGTAAAATTGAGTCAGAAATTCTACTATCTAGGCCCAGTCCTTTTATAAGTACGTGCGATGTTGTAAAGTACAGTTGCGTTCAATAAGACCCTTTATTCTTCTCCCTATTTCCAGTCTAAATCCATCTGATCCTGACAAACGGCTCCTGCTTTCCCTCTTTTCGCCTGGGTTAACGCGAGCTGTCCATCTCTCCCCGTCTCTCACTCGCCTCCATCGCCGCGGCTCTGGCCCTCGTCACCCAGCACCCACTATATTGGCTCAGCTCGAGGTGCCTTCTGAATACGGCCCAATGCAGTTTTAACGCACCCCGGGGAGCAAACAGCAGGTTCACCAGCAGGACTTAAGCGCTGAATTTTTACTGCTCGTTTAGACTCAAATTTATGGTCATCGAGCGAAAGTTGGGTCGGAGATTCGGTGGTTCAGTGGACAATGGGTTTTGCAGAATGTAAAGTAAGTAAGTTGGCAATACAGTAATGGAAAATAATGTTGGGCTTTAGTTATGTTAACATTTTGAACTTTAAATCAGATCATTGTCAATCACGTATATATTTTGAAACAATCTGAAGTAGTGTTGTCAGAATACATAAATTTCAAACCCCTCCCCATACTGTCTGAATAAAAGTCTTGATACAATTGTACTGATACACAATATAATAGAAAAAAATGAACACGTTTATTTAATATTATGTGTTCTTATACTGCTTATTATCTATATCAAGACCACTTTACTTCAGTTTTAAACTTTTTATCCCCCATACTGTCCAAATGTAAAGTCATTTGGTGATACAGTAATGGAAAATAATGTTGGGCTTTAGTTACGTTAACATTTTGAACTTTAAATCAGATCATTGTCAATAACGTTACATGTTGTATTTTTGAAACAATCTGAAGTACTTGTCAGAGTACTTCAATTTCAAACCTTTTTTTTTTCCCCCATACTGTCTGAATAAAAGTTGGTAATGGTACACTATAGTCATACACATTTTGAACACATATTTATTTAATATGATGTTCTTATACTACTTATTTTGTATATCAAGACCTCTACTTCAATTTCAAACTTTTTATCCCCCATCCTGTCCGAATGTAGAGTATCTGCAGTACTTGTCAGAGTACTTCAATTGCAACCTTTTTTTTTTTCCTCCCTGTACTGTCTGAATAAAAAATCTTTATAATGGTACACTATAGTAATACACATTTTGAACACATATTTATTTAATATTATGCTACTTATACTACTTATTTTCTATATCAAGACCACTCCACTTCAATGTCAAACTTTTTATGCCCATACTATCTAAATGTAAAGTAAGTTTGTGATACAATAATGGAAAATAATGTTGGGCTTTAGTTATGTTAACATTTTGAACTTTAAATCACATCATCGTCAGTCCTGTTATATGTAGTACTTTGAAACAATCTGCATTAGTTTTCTTTTTTTCCCCCCTCCATACTGTCTGAATAACAGTCTTGATACAAGGGTTATAGTACACAATATAATACACATTTTGAACACATATTTATTTAAAAACGTGTTCTTATACAGCTTATTCTCTAAAACTGCCCAGTGAAGCTTTAATGTTTAGCAGCCTAATTACCTAAAGATGCTTTTTTGTGTTAGTGTTTATAATTCTAAACCACGTAAAAGCCATACTTTATAATTTAGTAGGTATTTAGTCCAAGAAATGTATAACAATTCATTTCAAATCACAAGTTCACCAGCAGGACTTAGGCACTGAATTATTACTGCTCGTTGCGTCTGAAATTTATGGTCATTTATTGAAAGTTTCATGGGTCGGCGAGTCGCTGGATCAGTCACGAGCGGTGGACAGTAGGTTTTGCAGAATGTAAAGTAAATTGGCAAAACAGTAATAGAAAATAACATAGTGCTTTTAGTTATTTTAACATTTTGAACATTAATAAATCCAAATCATAGAGTTTCAATACTGTTTGATTAAAAGGCTTGATACGATACTAAGTCATTTACGTGTTTACATGAGTTTCTAGTTTCAATATTAGTATCAATTAGTATTAGACTTAAACTTTATTGATCCACAAGGAAAATTACTTGGACACAGTAGCTCACACATCACAATATATTCTAATAACAAAGAAAAAAATAAAATTGTCATAATAAATTGTAAATATATACTAAAAAAGATAAGAAACTGGAATCAATAAGGCAATAATTATATAAATGTATATATAGTAGGCAAAATAAAATGGAAAATAAGTAATAAAAATGTCTGCTATATACAAAAGGCTGTAAGGAAAAACAGTGCAAAATAATATGATTGACGGGACATAGGACAAGTTGTTGTACAGTTGTGTGGAATATGGTATGAATGTAGTATCCGGGTACTGATCAACCCTAATCTATAGTGATCCTAAAGATGTATTATAATACTTTTTATGATGCAAAACTATTACACTACAAAACAAACTCTTTTACATGTATTATTTTATATACATATATATCATTCATTTCATTCATTTACGTTCAATTCATTTAAATCATTTTTGTTTTCATATCTCAGAACTCCATGTTTATGTTTTTAGTTTGTCATTTTTCTTTTTACAGTTAGTTCTATTATTATTTTTCCATTTGTTTATATCATTGTCATAAAATGTATACTCTATTTTTTATAAATCAAGTACGGTTGCAGGAGTTCAGGGAGCAAGTCTGTTTGTGTGTATTTGTGTGTGTGTGTGTGTATGTTTTGTAATGTAAACCTGTAAGTTTTGTATTCTGTCTATTGTATTGTACTGTTTTGTATTGTATTGTGTATTACTAGTGTTTTGTGTTTTTTGGACTCCCTCAAAAACAAAGACGACACATCTCAAGGGGCATTCCAATAAAACAAAATAAAACATAATTTTTGACATTTAGGTTTACCAGTAGTAGTGGAATATGTGAATATATTTTAAGCTCATGTAGTAAAAGTCTGCAACTGAACCGTAACTCGCAGCAACTGTAAGACGTATAACTTTGTGTGAGAGTCAATTATCGTCTGTAAAAAACGAAGAACTGCGAGGAAAACTTCTGAGGAAATGTGAAGCAGAGCAGAACCCCACAATGGAGTTTGTAGAATGTAAAATAAATTACCAGTATATACGGTAATGTGCAAAGTTGCATGGGGTTGAGTCTTTTTGTCAGATCTTTGCCACTTCCTTTGTACAGTTAAATGCGTTTTCAGGAAAGATTTGATTTAAATTAAAAGAATTTAGCCTTTTTTGATAATATCTTTATTCAGTTGCTTCATTAGTTTTAGTGTTTTTAGGTTTATTGCGAGCATCCAGTTAAGTCCTTCAGTGACCTAATCGAATATGTAGGTAGAATACTAAGTTGCTGTTGATTTTTCAATATTTAAAATGTTTTTTTCACAGATAAAAATGTATTTATTGTACAGGTACTTAAAACATTTGTCTCATTCTTCTGTGAGTGTCCATATGCATTGTTTTTCAGAA